CAGCTGGTGCGAGCCCAGCAGAGCTAGGTAAATAGAGGCGTCCGCGTGCCGCTTCCCCCTGAATGACACTGCAAGCCACCTCTGTCAGTGCGTGCGACCTCATGTCAAACAGGGCCTCAATTTTGCCCTGAGCAGCGATTTGTTTGGGGTAACTCAGCTCGGTGTCTCCAAAAAAATCGTCCTTCGTTCTGGTCCCTGATTGGAATATCAATACTCTGTGCTTTTACCCCCGCCAGCCTCGAGATTCCGATTGAAGCCATCGACGCTTCCCTTGCTGTGACAATGGTAAGGAACCTGCGAGATGTTTCTTTTTCTCGTCCCTTGGCTCGGATCTGGCTGCAGCCGTATTGCGATTGACACAATAGCGCCTGAACAGCACGCGCCAACACCACAATTCCTTGGCTACCAATCTGCCAGCCATGTTTGGCCCCCCACCTTCCATTCATGTTTGCCTGTGCGATCACGTTGACCACCACCAAGCCCGTCTCGCCCGCAGCGCATGCATGTCTCCCCTCCCGCTGCTACCAACCCCTATCTCACGTAGTGCAGGAAGCTAGACCATGTCGCAGTCTGCCGGGCTCCACGCGCCTCTCATGTCGGTTGCACGACCCCGACGCCATGCCCTGCACAGTTGGCAGCTACCATGAAAAGAAACGCCCAAGACCTCCATCTCAAGCTCCGATTCCTGCTTCCCGGCTCTTTCTTTCAGCATCTTACGCTCCGCTCCGTAACGTCTGATCCAAAGTCGAGATGCTATCCCGGATTTTCCTGGCTGTGGCATTGGCGCAAGCTTCCGCCGCCCAGCCAGACGACTTTACCAAATATGTCCGAACCGATGTAAGACGCACTTCTCCTCCGGTTCTCAGCAGGTGGCCCGGTTTCTGACACTCTCTTCATCCCGTGGTAAAGACTGGTTCCGTCAATGGGGGCAATACGTTTCCCGGCGTGTCCTGGCCCCTAGGAATGGTGAAGCTGGGCCCGGACCTCCACACCAGTTCCGACAGCTACTCGGGCTACCAGCCCAATGGGGACTTCACTGGCTTCTCCATGCTGCACGAATCCGGCACGGGCGGTGCCCCCAAGTACGGAGTGGTATCGCAGATGCCCATCGTTGGTGATATCGAAAACCCCCTGTCCAACATGACCACTACTAGGGCCGCCTCGGACATGACCGAGGTCGGCTATTACCGCAGCACTCTGGCATCTGGAGTTACCGTCGAGCTTGGGGGCACCCGCAAGTCCGGCTTTTACAAATACACCTTTGCAGCGGCTGGATCCAACAACGTGATCGTCGATGTTTCCCACGTGCTTCCCTCCTTTCGAGGCCAGGGTCTGGGCCAGCACTACCTCGGCGGGCGTATCCAAGTTTCCCAGGACAATTCTGGGCTTCCTTCTTACAGAGGATACGGCATATACGATAATGTACGCCCGGCTTGGTCAATAGGATCCAACCCATCTCCTCACTCTGGCACATCCATCCCGCACAACATTGCTCTTGCTGACATCGCCCACAGGGTTGGAACCGAGCCGGCCCATGGCGCATCTTCTTCTGCGGCCACTTTGACAAGAGGGCTACGTGGAAAACCTTCCTGAGCGATGGATTGACTGGCGACACTCTTGTAGAGTTTGGTAATATTGATACCTACGAATCCTCCACGGCCAGGCTGGGCGCAGTCTTTTCCTTTCCCGACTCGGAGGTCAGCTCCAGGGTCGGCGTCTCCTTCATCTCTGAGGCTCAAGCCTGCGCCAACGTGCAGAGCCAAATCCCTAAAGGGACTGAGCTTGGAACTCTTGTCATCGCCACACGGAGCGCTTGGAACTCTGAAGTTCTCTCCAAGGTGACCACGACGGATACCAACGACACCATGAAGACCCAGCTTTACACCGCGCTATACTTTATGAACCTGCTGCCGACAAACAAGACTGGGGAAAATCCTCTATGGCAATCGGACGAACCCTATTACGACGATATTTTCACCTTTTGGGATACGGTGCGTTTTTTTCTTCACTCCACGGAGCCACACATCGTCATTGACTAATAGCACCTCCAGTTCCGGTGCACAACGTCTCTCCTGCACATCCTCCAACCCACGGTCTACGAAGAGTTCATCCGTTCTCTCATCGATGTCTGGCGACATGAGGGGTATGTAAGCGATGCCAGGTCATCCAACTGGAATGGGGCTGTGCAAGGCGGCTCCAACAGCGACAACGTGCTGGCCGATGCCTACGTCAAAGGTGTCCGCGGTGCCGTAAACTGGAGTGATGGATTTGAGGCAATGCGCAAGAATGCCGAAGTCACACCGGCCAAGACGGACGGCGACGGGCGTGATCCTTCAGGGCAGGTTAAAGAGGGCCGCGGTGCGCTCCCAGACTGGATGGAGCACGGTTTTATCACGCCCCGCTACACCCGGTCTGTCAGCCGCGCCGTCGAGTACGCCGCCAACGACTTTGCGCTGTATCAAGTCGCCTCGGGGCTTGGCCGCACCGCAGACGCAAACAAGTACCTTGGGCGTTCGCGCCAGTGGCGCAACCAATGGAACCCCAACATGACGGCGCTCGGGCACTCTGGGTTCCTCGGCCCGCGCTCTCTCGATGGCTTCATTGACCAGGACCCGGTCAGCTGCGGTGGCTGTTATTGGGGCGACTACTACTACCAGGCGCTTCCCTGGGAATACTCCTTCAACGCGCACCACGACGTTGCGACCATTGTGGCCCTGGTTGGCGGGGCCGGTGCCTTCGTCGACCGGCTAGAGAAGCTCTTTACACCCGGTCTGTACGGCGGCAACGGGCAATTCGGCAACACCATGTTCAACCCGGGCAACGAGCCCAGCTTCGGGTCCCCGTATCTGTACAACTTCGTCGGCCGCCAGTACCTCTCGGTGCGTCGCAGCCGTTTCGTCGCCAAGTCCTACTACAGCCCCACCCCGGCCGACCTGCCGGGCAACAGCGACGCCGGGGCAATGGAGTCGTGGCTGCTGTGGAACATGGTCGGTCTGTATCCGCTCACGGGGCAGACGACGTTCCTTGTCGGGTCGCCCTGGTTCCGGGACCTGACCCTCAGCCTCGGAGGGGGCGCCGAGCTCCGCATCACGGCGACGAGCGGCTCCGAGGCCGACTTTTACGTGCAGTCGCTCAAGGTCAACGGCGAGGAGTGGGACAAGCCCTGGGTTACATGGTCGGACGTTTTCGCCCGCGGAGGGACCATGCAGTTCGTCCTCGGCCCAAACCCAAAGGGGTGGGACACGGGGCCTGCCCCTCCAAGCCCCGCTAGCAACGACAGGCTGTCCGCCCAGAGGTAATGAGGTGAGCAGCCAGGCTTGGCCAGGAGTCGAGAGAAGCTGGGATGGGAGCCTGCAGATAGTAAATGAAAGCCCGTTTCAGCTTCTCCTCCCTTCCGTGGTGCCCACGTCGACTTCTCCCCTCACATCGAGTCAGCTTCGTGCAGCTGCATAAGGGCCTGACACGGGCCTGCTCGGCATCCCACCAAACAATCGCGAGTCACGGCACTACGAGGCCTAAGTCAAAAAGAGACGGGGCAACCGCCGATCAATCCCGTAGCTCCAAGGCGACATCTTCGAGTGCCGTTCAGCCCCCGGTCGCTGGCCTTGCGTGCGTTAGCCAATGAAAACGTTTGTTTTTTAGGTACTTCCGTATTTAGCCCGTGATAGAAGTACCAGCACAAATCACTGTTACAAAGCGGTACGTCGCAATACTCGCACCGCGCCCCTGAAAATCCGTACCTCCAAGTCACACCAACGAACAGGGGTGCTTTTGCTGACCACCTTCCAATCCGGGCGACCTGGGCCCAACGGCACTTCAGGGGACACGAAAATTACCATTCCCTACGCGCCAACGCCTGCGCCACAAATGACGACCACAACCACAACCAATAATAGGCCCATAATCCCGGTTTTTAAAAGCATCGGCGTCCCTTAGCTCGAAGAGGCGTCCATCGGAGGATTCTTCTAGAAGGAAAGAACACATCACGCGTCCGCCTTCCATGCAGGGGTGCAAGGTGATTTCGCTGGAAGATGCTTCCTTTTTGATGGTTAAATCAAATATTCCCGTCACTGGGATTCTTTTGCGGCTCACTTTCAAGAAAAGCCCTTGGGATTTTATCCGCATCGGGCGAATTCACAAGGTCCTGGCTGCAGCAAGCAGGAATAATACCATCGACACACGCACGCTAGCCAGGACCATGTTCAAGTAGAACCAGATACACCTGCGAATAGAGAGCCTCGCTCCAGGTGACCGGCGGCCATGTTTGCTTTTCTCCTTGCTCGAACGAGCGCCTAGCCATTCATTGTCTCGTCATTTGTTTGGGCGGCTAAACTGCTTCTGGGCCGGCTTCACTAAGCTGAAGACGCGAAATGTTTGACCGCGCAACTATCCGGCAGGCTGCAGAGCCTGGGCGACCAAACCGGTCTCCTCCCAGTTTCCTGCTCTCTTGGGCGAGCGAGGTTTTTGGCTAAAAAGGGAGGCGACGCCCTTCTCCGGTGTTCCTGGTGTTCTCGAAACGGATCTCTTTGCTGGTCAGTACTCTTAACTCTCTGTTGGGTGTTCATTTCTGTTCTGCTTAGCCTATTATACCAGCTGCATCGCCGCTCGTCCTTGTCGCTCGCAGCAACCTCTGCTCAAACTCATCGTCATCACCACCCGTAACCTGCTTTCAAACGAGCCAGGAGAGAGTGTCAGCAAGGCTCGACAGACATGGATGACTTGGTTCGCTACCAACATTTCTTTAACTTTTATAACATCACTACGACGCTTTGAACTGACGAGTCGTGCTTTTTCAATCAGAGCAAGACCCCCATTCCCTATCCTCAGAGCGAGAGACCCACCGATTTGCGTCATGCCCATCTATTCTCCTCGACTGTTGCGATCCGGAGCCGCGAACCACACACGAACACGCGATACCCTGTCGAAAACGGAGGCGGGTCCGCCACCGCAACTACCCGGCCTACCAATACACCCGGACGCTCTACAAAAAAGACCTACAGTTATGCCATTCAAGCGTGGCTCGCCCAAGACAAGGCCAGTGAGCCGTTCGATGCACTCGACACCGACCTCAACACGTTCTGTGTGAATTCCATGAGGGAGCCTCGCGGCAATATGGGCCGTGAGCTCGACTGCGAGACGATGGTTGTGGAGGTGTCCAAGACTGAAACGGTAGAGGAGGCTGGCAAGCCAAAGGTCTGAACTTGACGAGTGCAGGTGCGCTCACCTGCTATCAATCTAAAAGACGGGACAAACGGACATATGTAGGAATAAATCTTTGTACAACTAGGCAACAGCGATACAGCACTTGCAACTTTTTTAACAATGAGGTTTGAGGCTCTACATTAGAGGGGGTATTATCGCGCGAGCACCTAGGTACCCTGCTGGCATCCATATGATGGATAGCTCCGCGATTATTCCGGCAGCCCTCAATGACAAAGAAGGTTTAGGCGAGTTTAGCCGCCATGTGGATATTTTAGATTCGGGACGCGTGAGGCTGCGACATGGCAGTGGATGCAGTTAACTACTTACCTACCCAAGCTAGGCCTTGTTGGTCCAAGTAACTACAAAACGAAAGAAGACAACGAAGCAACAGCCAAAGAAATCCCGTCACCAGCGGCAGCGACAACGCAGACGCCCCGGCTACAGCGGCCGACCCCAACGACGCCATTCCCCTACAGCACATCACGGCGATGCCCCGCTGGGGATCGTGGGAGGCGTAGGCCCGAGGCGCTTGCAGATGAAGGACGAAGCGCCGAAGATATTGCAGTCGGTCTGCAGCCCGCCCTGGATGGGGCCTAAGGAGGGGTCCAGCTTCCAGCTCTGGTCGAGATCGATGGTCTCGGCCCCCTCGAGGTTCAGCGTCTCCCCAACGGCGGTGGCGGCGCGGACATCGGTCCAGGTGACGGCTCCGAGGTACTCGGTGAAGGGTATGGGCCTCGCGGCCCTAGTGTAGCTGCCACCGATCCAGTTCGCCGTCGAGCCGCAGTAGCCGCCCGGGCTCGACAGGATGCGGTACACCTCCTGGCCCGTGTTCAGGTTCTTGATGGTGCCGTTGAGCCCGAACGGCGTCAGCGCCACGAGCTCCATCTTGACCTTGTCACCCGCCCGGAGGGGGGAAGCTGAGGACGTTTTCAGATCCGCCAGAGTCGCCCCACCGCCAGTCCGCCCGGAAGTTGTTTGCGCGCAGGTCGCCGTTCGACCCGGTCTTGCTGGCCAGGTGCCCGATGCCGACGGCGACGGGGTCCTGCCAGCGAGGCTCGACGCCGTCGATGCGGATGGCCAGGTACATGCCCGAGGTGAAGCCGTCGTCGCAGGTGCGGAACTCTGGCACGGTGACGGTGCCGGCAACATTGCCGATAAGAGTGCCGGCCTTGGTGACGCCGGACTGGTTCTCCATGTGCATAGAGTCTGGAGCTCTCGTTTCCGGTGCGACAGATGTCCGTACAACAAACTGGCGGTCAAGGTTCCGCTATCTTGATAGCAAGTTCCCGATGCGGCTCACCAGAGCACCCTTGCCCATCTCCATGTCAGAGAAGCTGGAGGCAGGGACATCTACAGCGGCAGCAATGCATGCCGCTGCTGCAGCGGTGAGAATGGAACGGAGCATTTCGAGAGAGCGAGAGTCGCGAGGCTCGTGTTGAGCAGGCGAGGATGAGGCCATAGAGTTCCACCGTTATCGTACAATGCCGTACCCCTTCTAGCAATTTATATTTCTTCAGAAAGTCGCAGGCTCGTTTTTGGTAGGTTCCACGTCCCTTGCTTCTCAGGGCCAGGCGCCGGCAGGAAAAATAGGCAGGTAGTAGTCAAGATAAAATGTGGTATATGACGGACAAAAGGTGCAAGAAACGGGTTATTGTATGCTTATCTAGATCTCTGAAGAGAAGGGAAGACGGGCACGAGGCTGTAAGCCTCGTGCCCTCCTTATATACGGTGATACCCCCCTCTTGCAGGTGCGGTACCCACTACCGCACCCCTGTTGTTGCCGACGAGTGCTCGGTAAGCATCTGCCCGGTGCCCGTGCAGATCTTCCGTGCCAAGGCATGGAACAGTGTGCCGGCCCTTGGTGATAGCCTCCTTTGTGGCAGTATCTATGCTCCTTGGCATCCTGAAAACTACCGGGTTAACCTGTTAAAACAGGTGCCGAGGTACCGTGCCCTGCTGGCCCCCTTACAAATTGCGGAGCTGACGTGACATTCGCCGTGAGGAGAGGGGGCCAGCCCATTGGTAACGTGATTTTCAGGGTTGCGGCATACCCCGAGCCGATGCATTCGCTTGATCGAGGCACTTTGAGCAAGAAGTTGCTAGTAGTGAGCGTATTCGAACTTCCGCACATTTACGTCGAATACGAGGGGCGGCAGAGAACGGAGAAGCAGGTGAACAGTGACGTTGCTTCAAACAAGAAGGTATCGAGCCCGATTGAGGAGGGCGGGCTCCTCAAAGCGGCCGACCACTCTGGAGTTGCAAAAGCCATTGGATTCCAGACTGCTCCGCCTCGGTCCATCCCCCTAGTTTGCAGCCCTATGGCTGCGGCCCGGGACGGGGTGTGGCCCCGCGAGATCTTGTATTATTATACCCCTTGCTCTTGACGTAAAAATGCACTCAACCGTGATGAATAAGCGAGCAACTACCGCGGAGTGCAGGTTTCTTGAACGCCGGAGCTCCCTCCACCTCGGCCGAATGGAGACAGCGTATCCGCATTCGGCGATTGACGTTATCTAACGAGGTGCATATCCAGGAAGCAGCCGAACAGCTCACAAAAGGTGGCTCTTGGCGTGCGCCTAAACTGCCAAGGACTACTATCATACCACGGCGGGGTAATTCGCTTGGATGCATATCTGGTAATTATAATATTATGTTAGTGGGAAGGAAAAGATGCACTCCTTATCTCCCTCTTATATATACAACTGTTAAATCCCTCGCCTTGGCAACTCATGCTACCACAAACGAGAAGCTACGGATACGTCACATGTTATAATAGCGCGATATGCAAGCTTGGGGAATGCGATAGAGTTGAATTTGCTTTCAAATTTTACGAGATGCTTCAAAGGACAAGAATCGTTGACGGGGTCATCCGGCCCAGGCCCAATGATAATTATACAAGAACTTGAGCCAGTACGAAGCCTGTCCATCCAATTGAATGATTACAGTAGCCCTCCTGCCCTTCAGGCAGAATCGCGAAAGGTTGAACGGTAATTACAACTACTGGCGTGAGGCTGCGCCTACTAACTGTAAATTTGGTTAAAGTGTTGATAAGCAGGGCTCGGCCCTCCTGAAGCTGCTCGCCGGGAACTGGTATCGTAGAGGGAATAACATGTTGAAGTCAATTTGCTAGCTCCCACAGCTCGTGAAGAAACCAACTATTGTTTTCAGTCAGCCGCAGTCTATTCATAGCATATGTGGCGTTAATGTCGTTACATCGTGCCTTGTCTCGCCGTCGCTAGCCTAGCTGAACAACACGAGGCGACCCATACCTGCCTCATATCACAGTAGAGAGGGTGCCACGTGACCACAAATGCATCGAACTATAGCCCATCCCATTGGTCACAGCGTTCCATTGGATGGCGCAAAACTGCGCGGTTGCCCAACTTTGCCCTTCCGAGGTGTCGATCTTGACCCCCTTTGACCGCCCGGCTGGAGGTAGCCCCAGCCATACCGCACCCACACCACACCTCACCTTGTTCCTCACTAGCCGGGCGGCCTTTCGCCTCAATCCTTCAGGGCGGAATGTTCCGGCATGACTACATATGACGGAGTAGGGAAACGGGCGAGGAACCCAAGCCTGGAGGCCTCCCCTTGATGATGCAGCCATATCGGCATAAAAGAGAGAAGAAGGTATCAGCCGAGCTCACAGCTTGCGCGGTCTTCTCCAGGCGGCACGCATGCTCACGCTAATTAGCACTGCAAAAATTACACCTGAACTCCTCGCATCCACCACCTCATGGACACCCAAGCTCCTCCATTCGAAAGCTTTCAGTTCACAGATTGTGTTCCAGCGGCAAAATGGCTAGCCGCCACCTACCGGATGGAAGCCGACTACGACGCCAGCTCGGATGAATACCCCGTCGGGCTCGCCCGCGGCTACCTGCGGTCCCTGCTGCGCGGCAGCCCGCACGCGAACGCGACGGACGGGCAGCTGCTGGCCTGGTGGCAAACCATCTCTGGGTCCTGGGGCACGGTCGGCGAGCGAGACCGGCCCTTCGCGCGGGTCTGGGAGTTCCCCTACGACGGCTGCCCCGCCGACGTCTGCAGGAACATGGGCTTTGAGGGCGACCCGGACCTATCGGGCATCGGCATCACCGTCTCGTTCTGGCTGGCCGCTTGGCTCGGCACCACCTACTTCCTCGCCGTCCTGGCCGACAAGATCCTGCTCGCCAGGGAGGCCCTGGCCAGACGCGCGTTTAGCGGCGGCGGCCCGCCGGAGCCGGGTCGCTACCCGGCCGTCTCGCGCGCCTCGGCCAACTTCCGGCTCTACGCCTTCCTGGAATCTCTGACGACCTTTCTGGAGTCGGCGCTCATCTTCGCCATCGCCATGCTCGGCGCCGTCATCGCTCGCTACCTGCTGCTGGCCAGAGAGTTTGGCGTGTCCGCGCGGCAGTACGAGATCGTCACGGCCGGCTTCATGGCGCACTTCTCCGTCCTTGTGCCAATCCTGCTCGAGTCCATCTCCGACGCTCTCCGTCGCACGCACCTGCGGCTCATCCTGTGGTTCGTCGTCCTGGCCCTGTTCTCTGGCGTCACGGCCTTCGTCCGCATCTTGGAGCAGAGGCTTCTCAGCGTCGACATGAACCGTCTGCATCCCGCCCACCCCTGGACCCGCGGTTTCTACTGGTGGAACCACTGCCATGATATCCGCTTCTACGACAACATCCTGCGCAAGACGGCAGATGCAGGTGCCGCCGTCATCTTCATTAATGTCCTGTGGTATCTCTATGCGTTGCTGTACCAAATCCCTTGCTGCAAGACAAGGTTTGATCGTGTCGGGCGGCAGTGGCTCGTCAAACAGCTTAAGCCATACAGATCCCACTTTCGCCTGCTCAATGCTTTCGTCTGTGGCGTCATGATATGGCTGTTCCTGGGAATATTCCACCTTTATCGCGAGGACGTCCTCCGGCGCGCCGGCGAGACAAACAAAGATGCAGTGTGGACGTTCGGGCAGGTTATGGCACTAGCCACCTGGCTACCTGTTGTTTTTGATCTTGTACACTTGTTGATTCGCCGTAAGTCCACTGCCCTCTGTGACCCTTAGGCCTTGTGCGTTGCTAACCTATTCCTGCTGACCCTTTTCGTACAGGTTACCCGGAGAAAGCATTGCAACAGAAGATCTCGACGCGATACAAGGTAATCGCTCGTGGCGGCTCATCTGAGGCGATGCACGGCGAAGCCAACTCTCTAACTCCTGTTGCAGGCCATCGAACTATGTAAGGGACAAATTCTCGTACTATTGCCTCGTTCCCGAAATGTGTTTTTTAACTTATGAAGGCAGCTTTGGTGGATTTAATAAAGCCTTCAATTTAGCTTAGTGACGATTGTTTGATTTGAATTTTCAACTCGGTGGTATCATTCCAGCAACTTGTCATCATCTTTATCAAATTAACTTAAAGACTACTTTAATGCCTTCCAGCCAGTTAGGCCCATTTGTTATAAATGCAACTCCCCCGCACAAGCGAAAATTTCCGTTACTTCAACGCTTAACTTCCGATGCCACGTGTTGTAATAAATTCACTTCATCGTCGTATACCTTTTCCTTTTATTCGCCGTTACCCTTGGGCAAAATTAAAGTTCCAAGCGGCAAGTTGTTTACATTTCCGTGAAATAAGTAGCGTAAATACCAATGTTTAAGTCCTAACTGTTGAGGCTTTTAAACATGTTTTTGAGCCGATGATGTTGGTTTCACCTTCACACTGGCTCTTCCCACCTGCCACGTTCAAAATTGTAGTGAAAGTGCCGTGTTCTATTTCCGTGAAATTTCAACCTTTCCTGTGGGTTGAAACTACCTTTTCCGCGACCCGAGGTGGTTTGTTATTCACAAGCCCAAGGCCCCTGGGCAGTAAGACAGGGCTAGCCCATTAAAGGCTAAAATAAAAATGGGGGACGCCTATATTGCCACAGACTCTAGCTATTCTACCACAGAATAGCGGAGTCACAGTGCAACATAGATTGTTAAGGTACCGCCGGTAGTTTGGGCGGAGGATTTGTACTTTTGCTGGTCGATTAATGCCTGTCAATGACGTAACTGTGTTCGTTAGTAACGTGCGGGAGGCATTAAAGTTAAGTCCCCGTGGGGGAAACGTATTTTTAAATTAAAGTCCCGGTAAGCCAGCCTATTAAAAGTTAAAAAAATAAAGCTATTCGCATTTAAATTAGGCCCTAATTTGCAATAATAATGCACGACCTTATAAATTTAACCAATTTTTGTAATTCCGCTTTAGTATATTGCACCAAACGGTTATAAAAGCTTTTCGCTTTTATAACCGGTATATTACCAAAATCGTTACGGGGCAAAGTTATAAGTTCGAATCGTTGCAAAACGTCCTCGATATTAAGCACCGTTGCTTGCAAAACTTTGTTAAAAGCTTTAGGGTCCTTTTTAGCATATTGCAAGCGCTGTAAAAAGCGTGCAAACCGCTTAGGGGCTTCCGTGCCGGGCTCGTAAAGGTTACCCGGGTGGCTTTGGGATTGGGGGTTCCAAAATTTATGTAAGGAAAGGGACGAAAGGGACGAATCGGAATTGGCAATTAAATTAAAGGCTAAGGGCCCGCTTCCCAAATTAGGTACAAAGGTTTTAAACCCCAACCCGGCCGGGGTTGGGGTCCTAAAAGCCTTGGTACCCCTGCTTCGCCCACGGCTTTGGCCTTTAAATCCACGGCTACGGCCTTTACCTCCTTGTAGCCGGGCAGGGGCTAACGAAAGTGGTGGCAGTGCTTTTCGGGCCTTTTCGGCCGCAATCGTTTCGAAAAGGGAAGGGTTACGCTTTATTAAGGCCGAAGCGTGGTTTAAAGCACTTTTGGGCCGGCCTTTAAACCTGATAGGCAGTAGGTTAAGGGGACCCGGGCAACGAAGGGACCTTTCGGTAAATTCGGCTTCGTGGGCCTCCTTTTCGACGCGGTTCCAATGCTAATAAAGATCGAAATGCCCCATTTGCAAAGGTTTGTAAGCGGTTTGTAAGCCGGAAATAACGTGGGGGCAAAGCAGGCCGTGGGTAACCGTAATCGTGCAAACGCAAGGCGAAATAGGTAAAAGGAGGGCGAAAAGGGCAGGGTTACCGGCTTTGCCCTTATCCCTTTCCGGCTAAAGGCTTTTAATAACCCGTTTTACCCCCAAAAGCGCTTGGGGAACGAACTTTGCACGCACGCTTTCCCAAAAAGCAAAGGAAAAGCCGTAAGGCACCTTATTTATGGCCGAAGCCCGTAAGGCGAAAAGGTCGGTAAATTGGGTGCTTCAATAAAGCTTAAAGCATTTGTAAACCGTTGCGAAATTTCCGCCCGATTTGTTAATAAAAAGCTTAATCCTTGCATGCAAGGATTTAACGATAAAAATGGTACGGACCCCGAAATGCCTGTAACGGTTTACCCAACAGGCCACGATATTTTCCTTAAAAAGCGTTAGCTACGTGTTGCAAGCGTAAGCTACTGCCTTTTCGTTAAGGTTTTTAAAGGCTTGTAGCCTTTTTTCGTATATAGCTTTGGTTGGGAAAGCGAGGAGGTCGTTTTAAGCTTAAAAAAAGGTTTGAAAGGATTTGTGCCGCACCCAACAACCTTTTGTTCCGGGCTCCTTTCGAGCCGGAAAAAAGTAAGGTTTGCATTTTGCAAGTACGTTTATATTTACGTGCTATTTGCAAAGGAGTTTAAAAATAGCTTGTAGCTTTTTATCGGTATTAATAACTTTAATTAAGGCTAGGTTCCGGTTTGTAACGATTAACGTTGGTGGTGGGTGGCTATGCAATTCGAGGTAAAAGCTTAAAGCGTTAAAAAACCATGCAAAAGCTCCTTTTTTTTCGTTGTTTAAAAATACGGTAGCAAAGGAAAAGCTTTTTTTAAAAGGCAAAATCCCGCATATATTAAGCATGGAAAGGTTAAATTTATTTGTTTTGTAAGTGCAATCGAAAGCGATTACGTTGGGTGCTATTGCGAATAGCTTTAAACCGGAAAGGGGTGCGAGGAAAAGCTATTCGATACGGCCGGTTTCGTTACGCCAATTTTAATGGTAAACTTTGGTTAAGCCATTTAATTGCTAAAAAAAAATAAAAAACAAGGCCAAATTAACGCTGCTAATCCATAAAGGGTATGGTTTGCCGGGAAATTATATCGAAAAGCCATTGGATGGAAGTGCGCCCGTTTAATTTTATTTTTCGTTGGGCTTATAGGAAATTGCCGAGGTTTTTGCGGGTAAAATTAATCCTTTTCGGCCGCTTTGCCCGTAAGCTTTGCATAATGGCTAACGGACGAAGCCTTGCCTTCCAAAGGGCAAGGATTCGTTCCTTGCAAATTTGCAAGGACTTTCGTCGGAAGTTTGTAAAAGCGGCAAGGTTATCGGCCAACGGGTGGTTATGACCGAGATTAACGTAAGGGACCTTTACCCAGCCCGCCCCCATGCGTTTAAAGGCGGTTATCCAGGGACAATTAGTGCCTTTTGTGCTTGTTTTACGCTTTTTGGCCTTATAGGTATCGGCAACGTTGGGTTGTTGCTTAAGCACGCCTTTTTTGGCATAGCGCATTTGGGTGCGGAAAATTTTGCCGGCGGATTTGTAATTATCGTGCAAAACGATATTATAGCCCTTTGCATGCGCGCGTGCGGCCAATGCGTTAAAAAGCTCGTTGCAAAAAGCGTAAATAGCGTTGGAAAGCATCGTTAATTAAATTGCGATAAAAATAATGCCGGAAAGGTAAGTATCGCGTGTTTTTTTTGGTATTAAAGGTTAGCGTTGGGATCGAAAAGGCGGCCGGGGTTAATGCCTAATTTAAAGTAAGGGTAAAGTGGGCCCGGCTTTAAAACCCAACGACCTTTATAGCCGGGATTGGGAGTTTAACTCGTGCCCAAAGCTACGGCCGCTTTAAAAACCGTGCAATACGGGGAATTGAATTAGTGACTTTATGAATTGACGTAATTAACATGGGAAAACATCGCTTGTTATTTTGGTATATGTAAATTTGGTGGTGGGACGGTGCGCAGCAATGATTGCACGTGTGCACGGTTGATTTTGTGGTAGAATAGCTAGAGTTTGTGGCAATATAGGCGTCCCCTAAAAATGAGCTGGAAGGTCCAGATTCGGATACGTAAGCTTTTTTTGAAAGGGAATCGCCGTGACTAATCCAAAGTGGTCTCATGCTGGGATGAACAACCTTTTTTCCGTAAGGGGAGTAACCCTCCTGAAGCTGGGGTTTGTGCCTCTCTGGATAGGCCAGGGACGAATCCGCGGAAGAACGGCACTGGCTTGAAGCAAAAGGGCCGGTTATCCGCCTCCCGTCCAAACGCCATGGGTCCTGGTTAAGACAGCTGTCATGTCTCAAATATATAGGTCAGCCCCATCTGCCGGGCCCAAGACCGGTTGCCTATTCGAAGTTCCTTGGTATTCCCGGCCTGATGCCTGTTTGGTGGTCTTCGCCCTAGCGGAAATGTCGGCATAGCCAGGGACCAAGCTGCTCGAATCCCGGCAGCAGACTTGCTCGGGTTCTGTCCTGACAGCGGGCCGGGAGTGACCCAGTCGAACCGCGAGGGACTCCCTCAGGCCCGAAATACACCTTGACATGCCTCGTGCCGACGGAAGCAATCCCATCGAGAGGGGCTCTAGGTTCAGCTACACTCGCGACACTTGCCCTTTCGGAGTCGAGGGACGCAGGCTCCACCTAATTAAACAAAAGCACGCCTAGAGTAAAAAACCGTCGTGCATGTAGCAGCACCCATGGCCCGTATGGGCGAGTCGACACGGTTCTGCCCCCATCGGACCAAGCGGCCAAACGCCGGTCTGGAACGTGGTGCACGCCAGCGCTCGGTATTTCGGGCGGGCGCTGATAGCGCGGTCGTCCAGTCGCACGTGTTCTTGGGAAGAAATTTCGGATGGTGCAGCGGGCAGCCGAGCACCAGTGCGTGCGGAACGAGGACAGCATGGGAGACGGGACGGATTCTGCACGTATTTCCATCTCTTCCACGTCCTTGGGATCGCGTCGACCCGGCGGTACGCAAAACACTCCTCTGAGCGCCGCCCGCGGCTTCCGCGCGTTGGCCGGCACCGATGGCGCAACCTGATGATATCATTCATCTCGAGCTGCCCCTACCTGCCACCAGGTTTCCCACAGGCTAGGCTGGGTGCCCACCTAGGTGCCTGGATAGCCAGGTAGGTACATACACGCAATGGTGTCGTCTTTGCCGAACTCTGGGAGCGCCGCTCTATCTGGTGCGAACCCGGGCTCTCCACCCGCCATCGGCTGGCAGACGATTCAGCACCCCAGTAGAGATCTGGACTGAACGACACGTTGGGACGAATCTAAGCTTGAAGTTATTCTGATGACTAGAAATGTTCGGTACATATCGAGAGGGATGCCCCTCTGCTACGATAGGCGTGGAATCTATCGGCTCATCATTTACGTGCTTATATAAAGCCAGTAGAGATCGTTGGCCAGCAAACGGAAACTTTTGCTTCACGGCCTGCACCCGCGTCGCTGGAAATTCGCAAGGCTTTAGTGAGGGCCCCCTCACACAGCACCAATGGTAGTCCTGGGCCGTGTGCAGACAGCAAGAGGCCGGGAACAAGGACCTTTCTAGGGAGCCAGGGAGCTAAAGCGACGGGCACAGCGACCTCTAGGGCAGCGCCGAGGCCAGAGATACGACAAAGCTAGACAAAGGCGACGACGCGCCCTATAAACGCACAAGAGATGGGGAAGCGTTCCGGGTCTGGCGCCTTCGGCGCCTGCCCCACCCTTGGGCTTGGGCTCCTCGTCGCCCGCTGCGGTGCGCAGGCCGACCCCAAGACGGTGACGGGCAAGCTGGGCGACGCGGCCGTCATCGCCAACAACCCGCCCGCCATGGCGGTGGCGCAGTGGAAGGCGAGCGACGACAAGCCTTTTCACGGATCCGTCATCGCCTTTAGCAGTCCCGATGGCACCGGCGTCTTCCAGGTGAACTTCAGGAACCTGCCCACTGACACGGGTGGCGAATACGGTTAGCACTTGCCCACCCTCCCGGGGATGCATTGCGAAGGTGCAAAAGAGGCAAAATGGCTGATGGAGGCCATAATGCAGAGTACCACATCCACGACCAGCCGGTGCCTTCGGATGGCAACTGCAACGGCACGCTCACCCACCTTGACCCTTACGAGCGCGGACAGGAGATCCCTTGCGACAAAGACAAGCCCGGGACGTGTCAGGTCGGCGACCTGTCCGGGAAGCATGGTAAAGCCGCGGCGCCCGACTTTGAGTTCAAGAGGTGAGTAGTTGCGTCCTCGCTTCGAACCGCTCGTTCGCTGCGGCGCCAGCGGACACGATCGACTTCCAGCTCACCTGCCCCTTTCTAACGCTCGGCGCAGGTATCGCGAATTATATGCATCCTTGGCGCCGGGCATCGGCGCCTTCTTTGGCAATCGGAGCGTCGTGATCCACTTTCCCAACTCGACCAGATTCACGTGCGCCGACTTTACCGAACAGGGCTTCATCCTCGACGAGATGGGCATTGATGGGCCCAGGTTCGAGAGCTGGGGCCCAGGGATGTGGGGCAGCTCTGGCCGGCCTGGTTCTAGCTGGGGTGGGCCGCCGGGTGGCTGGCCGGGCGGCGGCAACGGACGAGGTGGTGGTCGCGGAGGTGGTGGTCCCGGGGGTCCTGGGGGTGGCGGTTGGGGTTCGCCAGCAGAAGGCGGCGGATGGGGAGGTCCGGGGTCCGAGTCGCAACCACCAGGTGGGAGGCCGTGGTATAGGTCATTAAGAATGACAAGAGCGCGGTGGTGAGGACGGCAATGGTCCTTTAGAAGATAGAGAGTGGCGAGGATGCGATGCATCCCATGCCCTCTCGAATGTATGAAACAAAGCATTTCTGCAAGGCGAGGCACTTACCTAGCGCTGTGAAACGATTGCACGGCTATTGCTTCGCAGTGTCTGTGATATCGCGGTTCCAACCAAACAAACAACGCTGGTGTGGATTCGGCCTATCTTGCGCGGGGTTTGGACGGATGCCTTGGCTGTTTTTTTTTGTCCGTGCGGAACCACCTGGCAGCCACCTGTCGTGCTGCGAACACCAGGACTGTGCCTGGCTTGCGTGATATTATGTAACACCACAGACGCAGCTATTGTTGCTGCATGAGAAGTGACATGAAGATGGTAGTGTCCAGGGGTCTGCCCCAGCAATGTCCAAGGGCCTGGCTTGACGTCGTCATTGGAGCGGGTCTGCAAGGGAGAGGGCGCTCAACGACCAACAGCCCGCCCAGCCGGATGTGTGGCAATGCAAGAACCAACACCTGCAAGGGAAATCGATCCAAAATACAAAATTCCCGGCCGATGTTGCGCATTCCTACGCCAACGGTTATTTTCGACAGCATACCCGCCAAGCTTCAAGGCCGCTCACCCAACCCCGCAATTTGTTGGTGGCAATTGCAGCACAGATGTTGACATTGCTCGGACTTTGACGTAAAGGAGGCACGAACGGCCGGGTGTTCTGGAAGGATTCTTACAAGTCAATTCCCACATTCCTACAGTAGTTAGATCGACGCGGCCACCAGGAATCCCAAAGCTCGGTTCCTTGACCGCCCCAGAAGCAATTACTCGGTGCTTGGCTCGCTCGCATTTGGTTCAATCAGAACCTCCCATTAGATGCTTCCTTCCTTTTTGGGCCAATTGGGGGGCCTGCCCAACCAGCGATTGCTAGGCAGGGATTGCGTTGCCATTAATCGCAGCAAGGGAGAACATGAATTCGCCACAGAACCGGTAGAGACAACAACCACCAGCTCACGTGGCAGGCGCGTGCGAGGCACGCCACGCTGGGCTCTTTCCAGGTACTGTGTAGATATAATGTATGCTGTGGTGTGGCGGGGTAGCATCACAGCTGCCGTTTTGGGTCGGGCAGGCTTACTCATGGCCAGAAGTGAAGAGCGACCAACCCACCCGAGAGGCAAGCACCTAATTAATCTCGCAGATCCAAGTCGTTGGACCGATGTTGCGTGCCTCTTTGACGGCGGGGTCCTCGGAGGGGCGTCTGGTGGTTGTAATTCGCCGCGCCCTCCGAACCTGACCCAGGCGACGCGCGCCACTTTTCCTTGCTTGCACCCCGCCCGCCCGGCCGAGACATGGGCAAGCAGAATCCAGAGGCTGTGATTAGCCGTTTTACGGAAGCGCATGGTTGCCCCCATCCGCCCCATCCAGCTGGATCCCCTTGCTCTGGAGCAGGTGCTGCTAATCCGGAAACACTAGTCTAGATCTTTGCGGTCATTGCAACGGCCTGGAACTAGAGCCATCAGACACGGCTGCACTTTCCGATGAGGCCAGCACATATCCACTGCAGGAAGCCGCCTGCTGGGACATTCCACCGCTCTCTCCCCCTGTTCCAATTGACAACTCAGTCGGATTGCTTGTTGTCCGTTTGTTCCACCACATCAATCCATCATGGGTGGTGAGAACGAAGTGACGCAGGGGGGGAAAAACGTATAAAGCGTCCGTGACACCCTCGATCTGCGCAACCACACGCCAACCAGATCAACCAACCGTTGACCTCCCCGACCAAGCCACAGTCCAGGGTTCCTCTCGCCCCGACGTCTTCCCTATTAATACATCGGCGATAGCGTCAAGCCCTCTCAACATCTCCGACAATGGTCCGCCTTGCCACCCTCATGTCGGCCGTCACGCTCGCCGGCAGCACCGCCAGCGCGACCTACGGCGGCGCGGTCCAGGACGTCAGCGGCTTCACCTACGTGACAAAGGGCCCCGCCAGGGAGGGCAACATCCGGGACTACTGGTACCCAACCTCGCAGACAGCCCTCAGCAAGCTCAAGGCCCTGTTGGGCCCGGACCGCCTCAAGGAGCTCCTCGCGCCCGAGATCTCAAAGGCCGACGACTTCTGGCGCGACATCGTCGCCCGCTCCACGGGCGCCAGCTGGAAGGCTGCCGAGGGCCGCACGCTAGCCTTCCTGCCCAACGTGACGGCCATGGACTTCAAGCGCTGGTTCAGCAGCCCGCTCGCCGACGCGGCCAACAACGACGCCAACGCCGAGCACTACTACAAGAAGACGGTCGCCGACCCGGCCTCGGGCGTGATGCGCTCCGAGATCATCGAGGGCTGGGGCGGCGTCATCACCCACTTCACCGTACCCAACTTCGCCGCCGTCGACCGCGCGCGCCACCCCATGCTACGCGAGCTGCCCGAGTTCCCCATCCAGTTCGCCGGCGATAAGACGCTGCTCGACGGCACCGTCTTTGGCGTCCTGCACATCGCCGTCCGCGACGTCAAGCCGTCCGAGTACCCGGACTACGGCGGCGCAAAGGGCATCGAGGTCTACGCCGCCGTTTGGTACGGCGACGCCTCAGAAGACGCGCACCTCGAGACGGAGCGCGAGCACATGATCATCGAGGAGATCAACATGTCGCTGCAGTGCCAGAGGGACATTGTCTCTGGTCGCCTGCCCCCGGCCGCCTAACTTGCCCATGCGTATCCACTTGTTCATATCCCTTTCTCTAAATGACGGTGTTATTTTCCTCTTTGGGTCGGCACCATGATTTATTCGGAGATATGTGGGCGGTCGCAAGTGTCTTTTCGGAGCGCGGGATTAACGTTAATGGCTAAAAAGGGCTAGAAGCCAGGGCAGTACCGGTACATCGGATCTAGATACACGGCAGGCGCTATAAAAGGGGAGTTTCTCGAACGTGAGGCATTGATGATAATGATAGAATTGGCCTCGAGATAATACATCAAGTTCTAAAACTTGCAGTTCCTCTATGTGATGAGGTATAGAGACCGCCTGGTATTTTCGGCGTCGTGGTCAACTAGACGAGCTAGGTCTCCCTCGCGACCTGCGCCGAAAGCTGAGGGTGCTTTGAGGCTCACGTGGGCGAGCTGCCTTGTTCGGTATGAAATCGAGAGACACGCGGACAAGATTGGGTGTTTGGCGTAACAAGCAAGGGCGAGGCTTGAACTACGACGACGATGTGTGGCGCGTATTTGGCGCGACCCACGTCGCAGCCTTTATTCCGATCATAGCAGGCATGGCCCTGTTACCTTTCTTCTGCAAGATCAGGCGCGGGACCCCGAGGTGGTGGAAGCCCGAAGGTGCTCTCAGATATGTGTGTGCATTCTACTGGACGCCTCGCTCTCTGCTGCAACAACCGACCCCTGCACAAATCTGCATGTGACTCCAGCCCCCTTTGCGGCCGCGCTTACGAGAATCCGCACCCTTACACATGGCTAGGCCCCCTTCCGCCACGTTACCGGGCTAGACCTTGTGCTGCACCTGGCGAACGCTCTCCACGGATATGTGCTACTTGAGCTGGCCGTGAGGGCTTGTCGACGTCCTTTGTGGCAACCCTGTCTCCGAAAAGCTCGGCGATTTCCTCCAGCGTCTTCCCGGGCTTGTTACTGAACCGAGACTAGTTAGCAGCTCCGAAGGCACGAACCACCAGATCATGGTGTTAAAAAAAGACGGCAAAGGTGGCCGAGTAGATGAAGATGATGGCGATGGCACCCCTAGCGCCCGGGCCCCCTGCCATCGGCTACGCTGCTGCCGCTGCCATGGACAGCGCTGAGCGCCGTGCACACAGGTGATCATAGCGCTGAGCAGCAGGGACCCCCGTCCAGGGCGTAGCGCACGCGTCGGCCAGCGGTCGGCGGCAACGAAGGCAAGGTGAAAGACGGGTGCCTGTCGACGACGCCGCTGATGAGGAGCTAGCTGCACCTGCTGGGCCCCCGCGAAGCCGACCTGTCTCGTAGGAGATTGGACCTGGAAGTTTCTGGACGATGGACTCGCGCGCGCGCGCGCCCGCCCGCTTAGCTGGCTCATGGAGGCGATGAAGGCGAGCGCCGTCGTCGCCGTGTGCGCCCGGAGGTGCCGCCTGCGAGAGAAGAGCTGGGCCATGGGCCGCGCGCGGGCCCAGGTGGGTGCCGGCGTAGGTTGGTCCGTTGTACAAACGACACACGATGGCGCGCCCGTCAAGGACGTGTCTCCGTCTGGGCGGTCCAAGGAAGTATAGCCCTACCCCGGCGTCGTCGCGGTGATGCCCGAGTCGGGGCCAAACACGAAGCCGCCCAGGCGACGACCGGGGCGGGGAAGACGGCAGTAAAACTAGATTTGATATCCTGTGGTAATCGCGGAGGGGACGGCAGCGAGTGTGGAGATTTCCCCATACTCTCTGGCCGGGGAACAAAAAGCAGGTCCGGGGAAAGCCAACCTCTGCTTGCCAATTGGCGGTATTTGGGAAATGCGAAGGGAGAAAAAAACCGAGCAGATTGGTGGAGCGGGCTCGTCGCGACTTTGCACGAAGCTGGCTTGGGTCAGTCGTATTTACTTTACAAGGGGTGCCACTGTTAGTTCGCCCGATCAATTCATATACAGTTCCCTAACAAATACGTTCAACCACTCCTGGCCCAGCCAACTATCAATTTCGAAAGGACTACGACTCCCTCCCCCTCACTATTCCTGGCCACCGTCGACAGGGCGATTTTCCCCCTTGAGGGCAGCGAGGGCCTGGAATCGGCTGGATCGGCTGCGGCCGCGGCAGACCATTTAATATTTGCATACTCGCAGCGACGAAGCGCAGATCGGTCAGGCGGTCTTTTCAGAAACGCAGGGGAAATGACAGTGTATTAAACCAAGGAAGCCGAGACGCCCCGAAAGGAACTTGGAAGCAAAAACCGAGCCGGAAGGGCACCGTCTCCATCGGTGGCCGACCCAAGCCCCTTTCACCTCCCTAAACGTCTATTTGTCTGATTGGTACATTTGCCGGTACCACGCCAATGGCTCCAGCACGGAATCCGGAGCGGGTGTGGAAAACGGGGCAGTGTGTCTACAAAGGAAAAGCCTAGTTCCGGAGGCCCCAGCGAGGGGCGTTGATGATGATGCCGGCCATGCATCCCGCAAAGGTGGCGGCGACGGGCAGGGTGATGATCCAACCCATGTAGATCCATGCAACCATGCGCCAGTTGATGGTGCGCCAGGTGCCCGAGCAGAGGCCGACGCCGACGGTGGCGCCGGTGATGCACTGGGTGGTGGACACGGGGAGCTCTGCAGTCCGAGACGTGTGTAAGTTGGAGAAACACGCTCGAGAGAAACGGCACACGCGAAGAGAAACTTACTGAGGCGGGTGGCCAGGATGATGGTGACGGCGGCGCCGAGCTCCATGGAGAAGCCGCGGGCGGGCGAGTGCAGCGTCAGGCGGTTGCCCAGGTTGCGCATGATGTTGCAGCCGTAGGTCCAGATGCCGAGCGCGATGCCGACGCCGCCGAAACACAAGATCCAAAAGGGAACGTCAGCCTTAGCGCCCTTAGCAGGGATGTCGCCCTGCTCCCAAATCTGGAAGATGGTGGCGAAAGGGCCGATGGCGTTGGCGACGTCGTTGGCGCCGTGGGTGAAGGAGGCGGTGCAGGCCGTCATGATCTGCATGAAGGAGTAGAGGAACTCGGCCTTGTTGTCGTAGTGCGTGACGCCGGCGTGGATCTTCTCGAGGTCGCCCGTGAGCATGCTCTTCTTCTTCTGCTGCGTGATGATGTCCTGGTCGACGCCGCTGAGGAAGATCTTCTTGAAGACCCACCACATGACGGGGCCGCTGAGCCAGGCGCCCTCGGGGCGGGGGCCGACGAGGGGCTTGTGGACGGCGGCGCCGTGGCCGGGGCGGCTGGTGGGCGCGAGGGCGGGGCGGTTGGAGCCCGAGTCCGAGTTGGCGGCCTGCCCGGTGGTCTTGTCTCCGAGGACGCCGGCCTCCTTGGTGCTGGTGGCGGGCGAAGCCTCGACGTCGCCGCTGTCGGCGGCGGCGGCGGCGGTGGCGCGGGCCTCGAGCTCCTCCTTGGTGGCGTGACCCTCGTAAAAGTCGCGGATGCCGCCCGGGGCGCCCTCGGGCTGGGCAGGGGGGTCGGGGCGGCGGAGCAGGAGGGGCCCCTGGGCGATGTGGTACCACCTCAGCTCCCAGTCGTCCTTGGCGACGAGGCGGTACAGCCAGGGCACGAAAAAGATGGCGACGAGGACGCCCCAGGCGATGCCGACGCCGATGATGAGGCCGATCAGCTCGCCGTCGGAGAAGTGGTCGAGATTGATGGAGCCGCCCTTCCAGACGATAAGCATGGTGAGGAGCGAGGCGGTGATGGCGAAGTACACGGGCACCGACATCAGGCCCTTCATGACGGGGTTCCGGCGCACCATGACGGCGTACTTTGTGATGGTGAAGATGATGGCGCCGAAGGCGCCGGCGAGGCCGGGGGCGATGATCCAGGCGAGGAAGACGGAGACGACGCCGTTGGCGATGCCGCCCTTGGCGTCGTACCAGATGACGTTGCTGGCGCCGACTGTGGCGATGCCCATGCCGATGACGCCGCCCATGAGCGAGTGCGTGGTGGAGACGGGGAGGCCGATCTTGGTGCAGATGGTGAGGTAGATGGCGGAGGCGACGATGGCGCACGTCATGCCGAGCATGAGGACGGCGGGGGTGTCGCGGTAGCTCTCGACGTCAACGACCTTGGTGCGGATGGTGTCAGCGACGCGCTGGCCGACGCCGATGGCGCCGGCGAATTCCAGGATGGAACCCAGGCTCATGGCTTGGATGTAGCTGATGGATCGGGACGAGACCGACGTGGCCCACGAGTTTGCCACATCGTTGGCACCTTCGTTGTGGGAGGGTGTATGTTAGCACGAGGGGTGATTCGCCTTTTGGTCCCTGGTTATCGTTCAGGAGGGTCTTTGGACACAACCCACCAATGTTCCACGCGTCGAGGAACGCGAAAATTGTGCCAATGGCAAATATGTAGTCATATTGGTGAAGAGTAGGCATCTTGGCAAACGGTGCGCTCCGTGCGGGCGCTGCCTGTGCTGTGGGAAGCCGGTGCTGGGAAGCCGGGTGCTGGTCTAGCCTGCAGTAGGCAATGCTTGGTCGCTGTTGCTGGATGACCTGGACGGCGCTCTGGCTGGCTGGATGCAAGGCCGGAGAGGGGTTGCTCCTGGCTGTCAGACACGAGGAGGGAACGAGAAAAACGAGGGCAGCCAGGGAAGCCGGATCAACGTCTACTTATACGCACTATCGCAAACGGCAAGAAAAAAAGCCCAGCGCAGGGTGGGGAGGGGGTGTAACGTCTAACCCAGCCCTGGATGCGCCCAAATCCACCCATCATCTCAAAATGCAATGCATTGGCGTATCCCACAAGCAAGCTGATCGCGCAGGCGGCGGATCCGGAGTCGCAAGGCGGGAGCGGGGCTGGCATCACCTCACCTCTGAGCAGGAAGGGACAAGACGGGGCCTCCGAACGACACGGCTAGGCAGGTTAGCCAGGCAGGAAGTCCATCTGGCGCGGCGCATGGAGGCGACCAGCAGGGGCGTCATCCCACATGCCCCCGCCAGACGTCCGGGTGCCATGGGCTGTTGGTGTGAGCGAGGCCCGTGGGGGGAGAGCATGGCGAAATGCGGGTACCGCGGGTTGGCGCAGGACGGACATGCTTTCACGTCGGGCCCAAATATCCAGCCGTAGTATTTTCCCTTTCTTTCGAACCGTCCAGGCAGGGAGCTGGCTAGCTGAGACATCCAGGCCAGTCAGGTCGAGAGGACCAGCAGACGACAGCCCACGCCACGCACGGCGCTGCACTGCATGTCACTGCGCCATCTCTGGTGTGGGCAGAGCTGGCAGTGGCCCGTCATCGAGTTCCTTCGTCTTGCCCGTCTAGGAAGGCGATGCGTTGCCTGTCGGGAGAGGGCTGGACTGGAAGTGGTTACCGAGTGATGCAAGCCCGGTCTGGGCGCCCAGGCGCTTGGGGAGCAGTCGAGAAGAACGGGAAGATGCCATCGGAGCGGCCTATTTTCCGCACGTGCAGCAGGCAGGCCGGGCGTCCTTCACAGGCCAAGGGAAGCGCAGGGTCGACGGCGGGTGCGAGACTGGACGGGCCAAGGAGGGCTCCCGGGGTGTTGGATATCTCGGCGGGCTCTATTTGCTGAGCAGGAGGTCTTGGAGATTCTTGGAAGGTCTTGGTATTCGCGTTGGGGGTAGGGTTTGGCAGCCTTTTTGACGTGAACTGGCGCGCTCGAGCACGAGAGATGTCGTTCAAGACGGGCAGGGGGGCCGGGCTGGTGGTGCGGGTGCAGAGCCGCCAAGAAGGGCGGACCCCTTAGATCCCACTCCCCGCCCGCCGAATCAAAGAGCTTAATTCCATCACGTGTGTGGATCCATTGGCTGCGCGCCGGCACCTCGCCTTCTCGGGGAGGCTACCGCGGAGATGCCCATGGAGACTCGGACGGAAGCGAACGTGCAGGCTGGCCGTCCGAGTCTCGCCGCCCAGCCCCACGCACATGATGGCCGCCACCAACGTGCATCTGCCCGGGGGAGCCGTGATTTGAGGCAGCCCGCTACGGAACCCCCCGGGGGTCTTCTCGCGCCGGCCGAGCTGAAGGGGGAATGATTGAGACGCCGTCCTGATGCGTCGGCCCTGTGGCATCGATTCTGTGGCAAACCTGATTATTACCTCCGTAATTATGTATCCTCAACGTACCGCTGCCCAATCAGGGCGGCCAGAAAGCGTCGTCTGTCGTTGATATCCGCGCTTTGAGAGACATGCCTACCCCCATCGCCCACTCTGATTTCCCAGCTGGAGAGAGTGCGTTTACGAAGGGATGGCGGGTAGCAATAGGGGACACTGAATACTCCCACACGCCCCACGGTAAAGGGACGCCCATGGGCAGTGGATCCTCCGCCCTCACAGTTGGATCGATTGGATTCCGGCCAGCCCTGAGCATTCGACTTTCATCCAATGTGGCAGCTTGATGGACAAACATGCCACACCTGCGGGCCCAATCACCAAACCTCATCCCTATCCCACGGCAACTGCCTTCTTTAGGCATATTTCGAGAGGGCCGTCGCGCGCCTGGAATCTCCGATGCACGCAAAAGCATCGGCCTTTCCTAGTGATGCAACCGGCATCCATGCGTCCTCCGGGTTGAATAGCCCAGCCACAATAGGGCAAACAAATTGAACCAAGAATTGTGGTTTAATAAACGATAATAGGATGATGTAGATAAGAAGAACCCCCCAACCCAGTTTCCCATCGACTAGGACGCTTTCACGTCAAATCTATTCATTTAGACTTGCTCTTCCTTAGAGAGCTCAGGTGCATTCGACCAGCCACGGTGACCCCACGGCAGCGCCGACAGATATGCCCCGTGCGCAAAAAGGGCGATTCGTCCTCGCAATACAATGATAAATTCACAAGGACAACGGAGAACAGAAGGCCAAGGACCAGTCCGATCTTTAACTTGGACTCCGGCTTGCAGATACCACACAGAGACAGAAAACAAACAGTAACCGAGGAAGCAGTGGTGCCCACAAGTACGGCGAATAGACACTCCGCCATGTCTTCCTGCTTGGTGGACGTATTGGGGACAGGACGGGACACACCCCGCTCGAGGACTCGACTTTGAGGGTCAAGGTTGTCGGGGCCGGGTCTGTTAGGGGCACGCCTGTTACGGCAGCTGCAAGGGGGTTTAATGCGCAAGAATTTGAGTTGTTTGGGCGTCAACTGGTACTCCTGCAGGGCGCAAGCTTGTGGGCGGTCGGCGTTCCCGCCATCTTGGGCGTCCGTCTGTGCCGGGGGACCAGCCTGCGCCGTTGCGCACACAACGCCGGGCCGGTCTGGGAAAACTTCAATCTGCGTCGGGGGATCTGTCTGCGTTGCCGCGTGCCCGATGTCGGGTCGGTCTGAGCGAGCCTCATTGGGCCCCGGGCGGGGTCTGTCGGCCGCGGCGGGACCGACGCACACGCTAGCGCGGCCGCCTTGTTGGTGCAGGATATAAGGCTCAGACCCCTTGGGGAACGCAACCCAAACGTTGAGCTTTATCACCGGAGTCGCCGGCCGATGCGCTACTGGGGATATGGTCATTGTGTGCGACGGGGAGACGTGCTTGCTCGGCGGCAAGATTGGCTTGGTCGTTATTGCCCGACGCCCGGCGATGGGGAGATGGGCCTGCTCTTGGGTGATGAACGGTAGGTCTGGTAGAGTGAAAGAGGTGGGTGGAAGAGAAGAGAGAGGCAGCTGCTTTATGGGTATCGTTAGAAAAGCCGGAAAAAGCTAGGAAAGTTCAAAGTTGAGACATGACGCCCACAAAGCTATACTGATGTAATGGTGGCTTGGGAGTGGAAGCTATTAAACTTCCTTCGTGCAAGCCAATTTCTAACAATGAGATTTGCCTTCCCAGCAAGTTGGACCCGAGTCAGTTGGTAATTCGTTCCCTCGTTGATGCCACTTGCCGTCGGTTTCCCGCGGCAGCGGTGAACAGCAGGCCGAGCACTGGCATCAAGCGTCAATCAAAATCGGCAGGCGCAAGCCAGCCCTAAACTGCTGGCCCCAACAGAATCGAGCAACATTGGCATCGCGTCAGTGTGCTCCGTGGCTGCTGCCTACCTAGGTAGGTACCTACCACCTACCTACCTACCTACCTAGGCACCGTTCCTCGGGTTGCCATGTCATGATCCTCCCCGAAAACACGAACTCAACCTCCTTCACCAGCGCCAGTTCCAGTTCCTGATCGCCAACGGCACAGCTACAGCTTTATGGCTTTGACTGGCGACACTCCAACGGCAGTTTCATCCCGACCATTTGGCCCGACGTTAAGGGTGGTGTCCTGGCCCCCAACATAACAAAGAGGTCGACGACGCCATGTCAACCTAGGTACCTACCTTCTACCTACCTATCTACCTAGCCGAGACCCATCCCTTTCCCAGCGCGACAATCACCCCCACGTCTCTCGCCTTCGTCCTGGCAAGCAACGTCAGCCTAAAAGCTTGGCTGGGTCTGCGCTCGGTGGTCTTGGTAAGTGGCTTTTGGCTTTCTTCGCCCACGTTCCCCTGCCATCAAGTCGTGGACTACCCGGCTAACGCATATCCACATTCTTCTCACAGGATGCACGACGCTCCTGGCCCCAGATGGCAGCCTAAAACTCACCCGTCGAATTGCTTGGCTCTTCCGCGATCAGCGGGCATCGGAGCCGGACCCCGATGATAGATATCATGGATACACCTGCACCACGCGACTGTCTCTGGATCTGCGTCCTCTTCCGACGACCATCCGTTTCGCTATCCATCACCGCGTCATCGCTTGCTTTTGCCAGCAACCGCTCGCTCACAGATGGCTACGAATTAGGCCTGCATCTCGGTCAAGGCGGGGCGGTGTCCTCCAATAAGGTGTGTCGTTTCTTGTGCCGTGTTCATGTCAGCAGTACTTGGTGTTTCGTCGCTCTATAAGCCGCGACAAAGTCATTCAATCTTCTACAACTCCTCTCGCACTTCGTTTCGACGCGAACGTACATCCTTCTATTGGCCACTGCTATTCCTTTGGATCGCGCCCCTTTGTGGGATGGATTGCCTCCTCGGCCTGCCTGCCTACCTGCCTGCCTGCCTGGTAAGTCTGATGCCTCTAGACCCATGCCACATTTCTGATGTTGACTTTGCGTAGTCGCTGACCCCTTCTCCCTACAGCACTCCTGCTCCCCGCTCTCCAGACCAAGGTCGTCCGATTCGAGACGGGAAACCCGGCTTCGGCTACCACCACGTTATGGCCAGGCGGTGTGCGGCTCAACGGCCCAACATCAGCGGCAACGGTACGACGCCCAGGGAACACGCTGCCTGGCCTGTCCTTGAAGACACACTGCTCTCGCCATCACGCCATAGGCATCACATCGAGCCGGCTCGACGGCTCCTAATGCAACTTGTCCTAGTCAACCATGGGGGTCCCGCCACTTATCAACGTTCCCAGATACCTTTGTGTAGCATGCTGATTTCTTGCGGCGTTTTCATAGTTATGTTGCTTTCGTTTCCCTTTGTAGTCATTCTTTTAGCTCCGTAGATGTAGCTTAGGTAGATAGACGTCGACGAACCAACCAAGTCAAAACCCTCAACGCCGCGACGATTAAATGTGATCCATCTATGCAGCTGTTCTCGTCGGGGCTTTGAGCCAAAACACCGCCCCCCCCTGCGCTATGCTTCAAACGATGCCAGACAGACATGGAATTCATAATACTACAAATATGTTAATCCATGTGATGTGGCGTGGTCTGTAAGCTGCTCTGTGTTCATGGCTACCTAAGATCAGAAGCACACAAAAGGACCCCGACGGCGTTGCTCCGTGATGCACGACAAAGTCCAACTCCGCATGCCCGCTCGCTGCTTCTAGCCAAGGCACCTTCCCCACGTAATAGGTGCCTTCGTTGTTATTCCGTTGGCGACATCGCTCTTGCTGCTTCTAGTCAAGGCACCTTGCCCACGTAATAGGTACCTTTCGCTCTTGCCAGCCCTGGCGCTATGCAATGGAAAGAGTCGAGTCTTCAGGAGGAAGGAACAGCGACGACGACAGTTCGCCCATCAAAACACCGTCGATTTTCCCAGCTTTGGTTCTTTTCTGGTTTCCGACCTTGGCTCGAACGACTGATTTGAACAAGAACATAGAGATCACCGCCGCCAACAATCACCATCACAGCCGCCGCCATCACCACCACCACCACTACCATTGCCGCCGCCGCCGCTACTCTTACCTCTACTCTGGCCGCCGCCATCGCCGCCACCACCATCACCACCACCACAACTGCTGCCGCCGCCGCCGCCGCCGCCACTACCACCACCACCACTGCCACCACCACAACTGCTGCCGCCGCCGCCGCCACTACCACCACCACCACCACTACCACCACCACCACCAGCACCACCGCCACCACCATGAGCGCCACCCCCACCACCACTACCACTGCCGCCGCCGCCGCTGCCACGGCCGCAGCCGCCGCCGCCACCACCACCACCACCACCACAATGGGCTTCATGGGGCTCATTACCACCATCTCCGCCTATGTGGCCTGGGCGTCCGCGGGGTGGGCGGTGCTGTCCGGCGCGGCCGGCCAGTACCTTGGCGGCCTCATTTCGGATGAGGAGATGGCCTTGGGCGAGGCCGACGACAGGAAGCTCGACATGCCTGGAATCTGGGCCGTGCGGGTCGGCCGCGTCCTCGGGGACGTGCTCGCGGTGGTTTTTACCGTCCTTTATGTTATCTTTGCCTGTTGGAGATCCCTCGGGGCCCAGTTTGATCGCGTCTGTGGCGACAAGTTTTGGGATATCTGGGAGGAGGTGACTGGGGGCAACCCCCGTGAAGGGGCGGATTTGGAGGGAGGGGCGGGTTTGGAGGGAGGGGCGGGTTTGCAGGGAGGCAACCACCCTCACTCGGCCTAGGTGGAAAGGTGGAGTCCTGGGCTTGGCCCAACTTGACTTTGTTCTGTTGTTATGTATATTTTAGCCCATAATGGTCTGTGGTTCGGTTTTTTTTTTTTTTTTTTTTTTTTTGGCGCAAGTTTTTTTTACGCATCTGGAAGATGCTTGGCTGGGAGAGGAGAGGGATGGAGGGAGAGAGAGCGAGAGAGAGAGTGTGTGTGTGCGTGTGCGTGTGTATATATTCTATCCTACCTCTTTTAACCCATAATGGTCTGGTCTCCTGCGGTGCGTCTGTGATTCTTGGCCACCTTTTTTGCGGTGTGCTAGGGATGGTACTACTTAGGCCAGATATTCACCTCCGCTGTATTTGCTTCTTTCGTTCATTTAAGGCAAGGAAGCCAGACAGAATCCGAGTAGCTTTTCGGGACCATCCCTATCAGACGACCCAGCACCACAGGAACGCTCCTACCGACGGGTCGGCCCGGACGACCTTGGGAGTTCTTGGAAGCCCTAGAGAGTACGTGGTCAAACATTTGGTAACGCTGGTGTGCGAGCACCACGGCCGACGGCTTTCCCTTCCCGCGTCGCCGAAAGGGCGTGCGCAGATCTGGACAGTGGCCAGCACAGGTATTTCGCGATTTTCTCACTGATCGAATAAGTCGGGGTCGAAGGACAGGCGCAAGACACGAGCACATCGGCTCCTCGCGATGCTGGCGGGGGCCAACGTCTTCGCCCGGGCTGCACGCTTGGCCCTCCACGGGCGTGTCGTCCCTGCTCCTTCAGAAAAGCCGTGGGCGCGGCCTTGGGACGGCATTTAACGGTCCACGTGGCAACCGAGACGCTGGACGAGGAAGAAAGCGGCGGGTCTGGCTACTGGCGTTCCTGGAGGCGGAAGGGAGCTTTGGGGTTCAATCCAACTTGGGCAAGCATCCTAACACCAATTTCAGGTCGAGGCGTCCGCCAGCACGTGAGGTCGGTCGTGGAAGCGCCGCCGAAAGCCTCAACGAAAACACTCCGCCCGTCACGATCGGAGGACTGAGCCTACCTTGCCCTAGCGGCTGGGGCTGAACGTTTAAAATGGCACGCACCTTTTATGTTCAACAACTGCTTATTGATTATCGATTTTTAGGGCAGAGGTCCGCTGGCATCCGTCTTTTTTTCTTTTTTTTCTTTTTAGGGAGGCGGGATCGTTCAATCGTGTCACCGCTCCTTTAGGGGATGCGCTTGTCCGCGGCTGAAAACTCGGCGCCATGTTACGTTCAGCCCTCTCAAATATTTGCGTTCGGACATTGATGCTGTTGCCAGGGTCACCTCAGCCCTTGGGGTTCGACCGCTTCGTGTAGGTGTGTGCTGACCGACCGTGCCAAATACGGACAAGGTGAAGGAGTGGTGTGTTGTTCGCAAGCGCTGGCCGGGGCAGGTGTGTTGGCATCTGGTATAGTGGCTTTCCATGGCTAGCTAACCCGCCCTCAGCTAGCGCTTTCCAGGACGATATAAAGATGTCGATATCAGTTTACGACAACCCGTGTCCTCCTTCGTCCTTTCTCTATCAGTCAGTGTCAAGCAACACCACAACAACCATCACCACCTCGCTCCCAACCGCCCGCCATGCTTTCTCGCTCCCTCCTCCTCGGCCTCCTCTCCCTCGGCGGGGCGCTCGCGTCCATCCAGGTCAACAAGGCCCCGGACGGCAGCATTATCTCCGTCGTGTCCAAGCCCGGCGGCAACGACGACGAGCGCCCCGCGGCCCTGGGCAAGCGCGACTGCACCCACAACAACTGCCTGCGGGCCATGATCGCCCGCCCCGACGCCGCCACGTCCTTTTGCCGCACCTACACTACGGCGGCGCCGCCGCAGACGGCGGTCGCGCCCTTTACCCAATGCTCTAGTGCCCCCAAGGCCAGCAGCGCTTGTACCTGTTTCGTGCCGGTAAGTCTCCTCCCGGCGGGGTGTCTTGTGTGCCATACCGGCCCTCGCCACCCCCTCCCTGCTGCTGGGGGCTTTCCCTCGGGCTTTTTTCTTTCTTTTCCCATTGCGGTGCTGACATGCGAGTTGTGGCGTCGATAGCCGCCCCCCGCGCCCACATGCGGACCCCCCGGTTCCTTCTGCGACATCAACAATTTTATCCAGCAGTGTTGCGACATCGCTGGTTGCGTCGGATGTAAGGGGTGCCAGTTTCCCAATTTCGACCCGAACAACGGTATTTGCTTGTAAAGAGACGATTTTCGGGCCCGGTGCTGCTGCTGGTTGCGTTGTTTGGATGGTGCTAGGTCAAAATCCGATAAAGTTTAACAAACAACTGCCACGGTCCCTTACCTACCTTTTACGATCGTGAACTCTCCCCTTACTGTATTCTTGTCTGTCTTCCTCACCACTGTATCTCGGCCTACTCGAGCACAGCGGAACACAACCGTGACAGATTGTAGAGCTTTACGTAAAAAGGCTGAGCTTCCTCCACAAGATCCAGGCTATCGACCTCAGTCTGGAGCTAGTCCGGCCATCATGAAATCGGAAATCCATTTGACAGCCCAACCGTCACCGACGCTGGCCCAGAGCCCGGTGTCAAAATGCAGAAAAGACCCCCAGAGAAGAACGCCATCCTGCATGCCAAGTGCCGCATGGCTCTAGCGCAGGCCGGCCCTGGACACACCAGAGCCAAGAACCAGCAGGGCTCACCAGGCCATGCGTTGCATGAGCCAATGATGGGTAACATAATTGCTTCCTTTCGGTCTGCGACTTGGCTCACGATATCTGGCCAGGTTCCTTGTGGCTTGTCCCCTAAGTGCCGCTAGCCCACCGACCATTGGTCCCACCCCTGTCATCCAGCAAGACAATCCAACTTTGCAAGACGTGTCGCCTCTTCAGGCCTACTACACGACACATTTATTCATTAGTAAAAACTCCTCTTATGAACAATGCCCCCCCGCCCACCATGACCGACTTGCCTGCTTTACATCGCTTTGTCCTTGCGCCCCTTATGGCCGATCCTCTGTGACCGCTTCGTCGCTCCCAAGGTCTCGGGAAGCGAGGCGATTCTCATCATCCTCTTCCGATGCCGCCGTCTGGCGGCAGAACTCTGGGCGATATAGCCGGATCCTCCCGTCTCTGGCGTCTGGACAGCCGGCCGCTCTCTTACGGCTACGCCTATGGATGTCTGCGTCGACGAATCCTTATGGTTTGGCGTTTGCGTGGAGGTGTCCTTGTAACACTTCTTCCTCTCGCGATAGTCATCTGTGCTGGGTCCCGTCACACCGGAGTCGAGTGAGGCGCGGGGCTCCATCAGAGGGTACTTTATCTTTCTGCTCCAGGGCCAGTCCTTGCGGTGGTATCCCATAATCCGACCGCCAAACTCTCCGCCGTAGTTGTATGTGGTTCTGAAAGCGGTCTGATCTGGGCTGTCGCTTGTGTGTTGGTCGCTGCCACTCATGTTGCCGGCAGTGGCAACCATTCCTTTCTTGACGGTAGCCTCGCTGCTAGACGCGGACGCATCGCCGCCGGACGGGGTCAGGTGACGAGGGGTCGCCTTGCATCGAGCCATTTGTTGCGATGGGGTTTGTTGTTCCAACGCCCTGTAAGGTTTAATTGCAATCGCTCGGCGGGCTGTAGTGAAGTGGAAAAAGTGAGAGTTGAAAAGTCGTTGGTTTGGAGCCAACTTGGCGAAGCTCTTTCTTTGGTTCAAAACTGGACCATTATCTGAGCGGAGTATCCCCCACTTCCGTTGTCCGCATGCCGTTGACCTAGACACGCCACAGTCCATAGCCGCAAGAGCCTGAGGAAAAGTGCCAGTCGCCTCAGCCACAAGTAATCTGAAGTTATGCCGCATGGCCTCCACTGATAACACTCCACTTTGGCTCCAGTTGTCCCTTTGCCACTGTTATTACAGCAGGTGAACGATTAACGTTGGTAAAAAGGCAAAGCTGCGATGTCCGCGGGTTGAATTGGCTATTAAAGGCAAAGACAAGGAAGTAGAATGGTGCGCGTTGCACAGCGAAATTGCCCAAATAGCCACGTGTTGGCCTTTGCAGGACAGATTGGTGAGCCAATTCGGGAAGCCGCGCCATAACAACAGGCAGGGAAGATGGAATCCAGGCCAGAGGCCGGCCAAGAGAGAAGTCTGATATTTACTATTTGTGCCTGCGAGGCACGTGCTTGGGACTCTGATGTGACCACCCAAGACATGATTAACAACTGTGCTCCCTCTTCTCTTTAGCTCAGCAGTTGGGGGTTTGTGTATTGAGGTACAAAGGTCGTTGTTGTTAGTAATTACGGATTATATTAAGCGAAATATTCTGAGATGGACTTTAATCCCCACGATACATCGAATGGGTATTATATTATGAGGTTTGAATCTGGGCATTTCAGCGTCGTGTCCCTTCGTAGTCTTTTAATTAGGTCGTTAGTTGAAGGCTTTGGCTGTCGTTGAAGAATATATCATCATGCAATTCTTCTTGTGACTGACACGCCGTCGCCTTTGTTTGCCAGCCAAGGTGTTGTCATTGTTCGTTTGTGGTCACTGAAAAGAGGGACCCATTGCGAACAAACAAGTGCCAAGGCGCCAACAGCCACAGGGAAAGGGAGCGATGTGGCTGGCATGTGCGCATCTGGAGATGACGTTTGAGAGCGGCACTTGAAATGAATCTATTGACCTATCGGCTTCGGGAGGTCGGTTGTTTGGCGGTGTAACGGCTTCTGTGACACGGCGATCCTTTCGGCAAGATGCTGTGGCGTCTTGCCCGACATCATGTGTGTCGGTGTTTGCGGGCTGGCTGACCTTGGCGTGCTTTGCTGATGACGTCAAGACCCGGGGCTAGCCGCCTGCCGCGGCGAAACGCGAGGGCTCAGACAAACAAAAATAAGAGACAAATCGGAGCGCGATGGCAGGAAAGGATGCCCGTTTTAAATACCTAGAGCTGGGCCTGCTTTGGAACCTACGGACATGCCGCCTTTCTTGCAAATCGCAATCACCTCGAACCTTACCCGTCGAAGCTGTGTCGCGTCTACCCTACGAACGTATCGTTACTTTGCCGCCACCATCCACTACCGTCCTGGACCCGCTCGAACCATGGCGACAGAAGCAGCAGCAGACATGCCCGTCAAGCTGCCGACGGTGCGTCTGGACACAACGCTGGCGGAGCTCTATGCCCGGGCCAGCCCCCGGCTAGCTGGCAAGCGCGTCGGCCAGGTACTCTCGGGCACCAACTCGGGCATGGGCCTGAGCAACAACTTTCCGCGCAATAGCAAGTACCTGTATCAAGACAGCCCTTTCAACTCTGCCGACGCCGACCGCGACGAGTCCGAGGCCGCGCGGCGCGAGCTGGCTGTCAAGTACCTATCGCTGATACCGCAGCGCGACGCCTTCATCACGGGCGCCGCGCCTGTCGTGCTCTTCAACCTCGGCACCGACCCGGACCAGCGCGCCCAGGACCGGCGCGAGGCCGAGCGCACCGTGGCCGTCCTGGGCGCCGACCAGAGGCCCGAGCTGATCTTTTGCCCCGGTCCCGCCGAGATCCCGGTGGAGGAGGCCCGGCTCGACCTGCTGGCCTGCAAGCTCATGATCGACGGGCTCGAGCGGTACGACCTCGTGGTGCCGGCCGAGACGCACTGGTTCCTCAACTCAAAGGCCGCGCTCGCACAGTCGGGCCTGCCCACGCCCGTGTGCGAAGCCGTCGAGCTGTCGGGCCACGGCGCCGAGGCCGGCCTGTGCTGCAAGGCCTGCCAGCGGTCGACCGACGGCTTCGTCGTGCCCGAGCTCTGCACGGGCGAGCGGGGCCGCTGGGTGGACGAGGAGAGCGCAAAGGTCTACGACGCCGTGCGCGCGCGCCGCCTGCCCTTTGTCCTCAAGAACCAGCAGACCTTTGGCGGGGCCGGCACATACATGGTCAACACGGAAGAGGACCGCGCGCGGCTGCTGGAGGAGCTGCGCGGCGGCGTGCTGCGGCGGCTGCTGTCGTCGGTGACGGCATCCAACAGCCACCTCAAGCCGGGCACCATCCTGCTGTCGCAGATGGTGGCGGAGCCCATCGGCGACTACGGCGTCACCTTTTTCGTGACGGACAGGGACGACGGGGACGACGACCCCATCTTCCTCGCCACGTCGGAGCAGATGACGGACGGCCCCGCGTGGATAGGCAGCACCACCAACTACGCGCGGCAGGACGAGCTGCGCGCAAAGTTCGGGCCGCTCGTGCGCCTCGCCGGCCGCTGGCTGAGGAGCCACGGCTACGTCGGGCCGGCGGGCGCCGACGTGCTGGAGACGGCGCCGCACGCGCACGCGCACGGGGACGGGGACGGGGACGACTGCTCGGGGCACGCTGCTGCTGCTGCTGCCGCCGCCCCAGGAGACGCGGACAGGCCCCCGTCCGAGTTTCCGCACTTCCACATTGTCGACCTCAACGTGCGCACGTCGGGCTCGCTGTGCCTGCCGCTGCTGCGCGGGCACTTCACGTCGCGCGGCCTCTGGTGCGCGTCCTCCTTCTCCGTTAGCGTGGCCAAGACGCGCGAGCAGTTTGTGCGCAAGTTCCGCGCCGAGTTCGAGTCGGGCGCCATGTGCATCGTCAGCTGGTACGAGGACCGCCGCGTGCCGGCCGACGGCAAGGGCGAGCCGTCGGTGCTCAGCCTGGCCGACGTGGCTTTGGGGGCCGAGGACATGGAGGCGCTGGGCAAGGCCATCGACAGGGTGAGGAATGCAACTGACGAAGTGACGTTTTAGATGTGTAGATGTGTTCAGAGCATGTCGGCGCGGTTGGAGTCGTGGTTGATAGACGGATATTTTGCTATAACCTCTGGTGATATTGATGATAATACAGATGACTACTAGATGCATGCCGGCCTTGATTCCCCTTTCCCCGTTACCCGTCACCCTCACCGTTACCAGACATCTTTCTCCCGCAGCTCCCTCTCGACCGGCCAGTCCTCGGTATTCACGTCCTTCTTAAACGTCGCCCTGTAGCCCTCGGCCGCCGCCTCCGCGTTCCACACGTCGCTGGCGCAGCACGTGGGGAAGTAGTCCTCGTCGGCCGGCGGCTCCAGCTCCCCGGAGGGCTGCTGGCCCGAATCCTTCTGACGCTGCCGCTCCCGCCTCGCCGCCCGCGCCACCTTGGCCTGCTTTTCTGGCTGCCGCACGTACGCGGTCCTGCCCATGGCGTGGATGAAGTCCCTCTTGGCGCGCGCCAGCCGCGGCTCGTACCCCTCGGCCTCGCGCTCGTTGATCAGCACGATGGCCTCGCGCCGCGGCGCCGCCCGCGCAAGCTCCGCCCCGCGCGCGTCCGCCGACGCCATGCGCTTGGTCGCCGCCGACCCCGTCGCCGCCAGCGCCGCGGGGCGGATGCCGACCGACTCGGTGACCTTGGTGGTGTCGCCGGCTCCGGACGTGTCAACGGCCCTGACGAGCGCGTACTTGCCCGTCTTGGCGCCGCTCTCCCGATCCATCGCCATCTCTAGCGGCGCTAGGCACCCCGGGGCTGGGCTGTCGAGCCCCGTCAGCAGCGGGATCATGGCGGCGTGGGTGTACAGCAACACCCTTGCAGCAGACCCGTCATTGGCCCCCTCGTATCCCCCTGTGGCCAGGAACCGCCGCAGCGCCCAGGCGCGGTTGAGCACCATGTCGGCCGTCTCGACCACCACCTCGCACGGCCTGCGCGCGCGGCCGCCGAAGCTCGCCCCGTCGGCCGTGCCGGCGCCCCTGCCGTGCTCGCGCTCGTAGCGCCACCCCATGCAGCCAAAGTCTATGGTGACGCCCCCCGCGGCCCGCAGCTCGTCCGCGTCGGCGTGCCGTCCCTCGGACGCCAGGATCGCGGCGTGCAGGCGGCTCGCGATCTCGGCCTGCTCCCGTATGATGCGCCGGCTGGTGACGACGTCGCACGGGCGGCGCACGCACTCCTGCAGCTGCGGCAGCAGCGTGATGGCGAAGCCGCACCGCCGCAGGCCCTCGAACGGCGTGGCCAGGATGGCCGTCTGGATGGCGCGCTCGAGCGGGGACGAGAATATTGCGACCGTTTTTCTCTGCTGCTGCTGCTGCTGTTGCTGCTGTTGTTGTTGTTGTTGTTGTCGTTCCCTCTGCCGCGCCGCCTCGAGGGCGATCCGCGCCGCGACGCACTCGCCGACACCGCGGTCCGTCAGCGGCACGCGGAAGAAGGAGGACCCCGGCAGGTGCGGCGGCGACGGCTTGACCTCGTACTCGGGCCCCGCGGACCGCTCGAGCGTGGTGACGATGCGGAGGATGGCGCCCGGCTGCGCGTTCAGCTTGCGCCTCTTGCGCTCGTGCTGGTCAATGTATGGCGGGTGGTTGCGCGCCCTGCCGAACCCGCCGCCGCCGCTCTCTTCGTCAGATGTTGTGCCGCTTTTGAGAGGCCGGAAGCGCCAGTCGGAGACGGCGTGGGCGGCTGGGACGAACTCGAATATGGCACTGTTGGAGTCCATTTTGAAGCGTGTGATGAGAAATAAAACTAGATGTAGATGTGCAGCAAGTGAGGGCAGCTAGAGCATCGTTTCTTCAACGCAGGTAAATACCGTTCACCCAGATCCTCTCTGCTCAAGGTCGCTCTGCCTGGGACGACCATCTTTGCTGCCGGATGCGGTTGGGCTTTGTCTTCGCATCTCGAACACCCTTTGTTTTCTTGGCTGGAACTGACTGCTAATTGAGCAGAGACCATATGTATCCGCCGGGCGCGTTTTGGGACGGACAAAGAACAGCCTTGGGTTTCGCGGCAAATGTCTCAGGGGCTTGCTCTATGCAGTGTCAACGGCAAACATTTGCACGATATGCTCAGCAGTACCACATGGTAGTCATAACATTACGTTTACGCTTTGGACCCGGTCTTGCAAGGGCCAGTCATAAAGGTCCCAAGCCAAAAGCCCAGAGTTCCCCATGCGCCGGCCCGCCAGTCCGGGTTTGCGGCAACACATCTATATCGCGTACATCGTCCCGACATGTTCAAAAGAAACCGCAAACCTCTATAGACTCTATTACCCGCTTGCGCTCTCACACACTTCTATCCGCCCGTCTATTAGCTCGCCGCTCTCGCAGCCGTCCCTCCCGCGCCGACACTGCCAGCCTTTGCCGCCGGCGTGTGCGCCCCCGACACAGGTCCCAAGACCTCGTCGGTATCGCCGACGCTCCCGCGCCATTCCTCCTCGCCGGCGGGCGTCCACCGCGCCAGGAGCCTCTCCACAAGGTCGTCGTCGTCGTCGTCGGCGCCGTCGTCCCAGTCGCCGCCGTCCTGGATGGCCTCGGCCTCGGCCTCGGGGTTCGCCCATTCGCCTTCCTTGCCGAGGCCCGAGGTGCCCTGCGATGCGCCGCCCTGGTCTTCCCCGGCGGTCGAGGCGGGTTCAGCGATGTGGTGGCCCGAGATGTCGGTCCTGATGGATTTGGGTACCCCCTGCTCTTCTTCCGCGGGAACTTTTACGCTGAACGGCAGCTCAGGGCGGGATTCGGGCTCCGAGGCCGGCGTCTTGTGAGCCCCGTCCGACGGGGTGGAGAGCAGGTCGCGCAAGTGGTCGGCTTGGATGCTTGGGCCAGCAGCAGCATCCGCGCCTGCCTGCCGTGCCTCGCGGATCGCCCTGGTGTGTGCCAACAGGCGTTCCTGCTCCTCCTCGTCCAGGACTCGGTTGATGATGATGTGGTTGGGATCGTCCTGTTTTGCCGTTAGCGACTTTCCCTCCACCGCGGTCGACGAAGAAGCAGGTAGCAGTCCCCTTACCCTATCCAGCTCGAATTCGATGCTCAGGGCCCTCAGAGTCTCCAGCTCGAGATCCCGCGCGGGTATGCTTGTATATGTCGGCCCAGGGCGGGGCGTTGCAGTCCCCCTCTTCCTTGCTTCGCCGTCCCCTCGCAGCGCCACCTCCGTATCCGACCGTACCGGACTTCCAGGTTCCTCAAAGCCTCCCTTGCCCTTGTGCCCCCGCTCGGCACGGCCAAAAAGGTGCCGCCCTATCCGAGGAGCCGGTTCCCAAATCTGCGGTAGCTGCACGACGGGAAGTCCTGGTCGACGCAGCTCAGTCTTGCGTCGGCGCTGTTCCGCTCTGTAAAGCTTGCCGAGATTGACGCCATCGCGGGGGCCGCGTGCGAAGAAAACAAGGAGCGCGGATATCTCCCCTGCCCGGCTATCTCCTCGTCGAAATGCCCGCAAAACTCCCTGCGGCTTGTCTGCTCGGACGGCCTCGACCTTCTCGACAGAATAAGCGAACTTGGTACCCGCCGATTCTGTCTGGAGCTGTTCCATCAGCCTATCAACCTGCGATCGCTGGTCTGGTGTTAGACCCGGGGGCTGGTTTGTCGGGCCTTTCTCCTGCGTATTATTCTCGTCAATCGGCCCCCGAAGCTGGATGACCTCCTCCTCGCTCATTCTACCCCTTGTCACCAAGCACCTGTTCCAGTCCGGATTTCCGGCGCCGGTGGCGGTACTCGACTCCTGCGGCTGAATCCTCCAGACGTGGTGTGTTGTTAGGAGGAAGACGAGACTTCTTTCTTGGTCCGAGCCTGTCGAGAGGTCCTGGATCCAAGCACCCTGATGGCCCGCACCTCCACCCGAGATCTTCCCATCACTCTCGGAAATGGACGCAAACCTGTCTCTGGGCAGCATCTCGACGAGGACAAGCAGCGCCGTTCCATTGTCGCCACCATCGCCGGGAGAGTCGACCGAGGGTCCGGCCCGGCCCGGTTTCCTCCCGACTTCCCTGACTTGAAGCAAAGAACGGTTGAAGATCTCGCCGTCGACATCGCTGCGGCGCTGGAGGAGGTGCCCCAGCGTGCTCAGCTGATCCTCAGTTGCCGAGGCAAGGGTTCGCTCCATGGCTTCCTTGGAGGGCCATAACCGCCACCGAAGCACCTCTATCGCCCGGCGCAGTCCCTTCAGCTGCATTGGCTCGAGCGCAAAGAAGGTGCCTTGCTGCTTGATCATGTATCGAGACACCACACCGTTTCGATATTTTTGGAAACCCAGCTCGAGGGCCGAGGTGGCCTCCTGGGACGAGTCGCCGGATGAGCTGTCGTCGTCGTCGCTGCTGTCGTTGGCCTCGCTGTCTGCCGCACCTTGCCCGTCGGGTCCATCGCGCTCCTGTTCGGGATCTGCGGCGCCCAGTGATTCCACACTTTTGACGCTTGCGCCCCCGGACGTGTCTGTGGTGCCTTCGTAATCGCCCCCCACAGGCCTCTTGGAATTCTGACCATGGCTCTCCCCACCCACGCCCGCCGTCACCGGTCTCAACAAGGGCGCAATTATGGGGAGATCTTGCTTTTTCGGGGGGTCGTGGAACTCGGATGAGCCCCCGTCAGTTTCGGCAGTCGGCCGCCGTGGCTCCAGGTTCGTCTGTGGGCTCAGATTCAAGATGTTGCTGGCGAGCGGAGCCTTCCCGGACGTTTGCGAAAGAGCAAAAGAGTTCCGACTGCTGTCTAGCGGGACACCTGAGGATGCTGTCACGGTATATGAATTATCAGCAATACTAACACCAAACTTGCTTCCTCGGAGAGCCGCCGCTGGATGCAGAATTCGGACTTACAGGCACCGACTCCCGGCTCCCTGGCCATCAGCGTGGCATGTTGGGTAGACTGGCTGTAGGATCCGGAGCCCACGTCGGTCCCATTCGCCAGGTCGCCGGTGGGCTGATGGAGAACAGAGCCCGTCCCACCCCCCTCCTCCTCGTGAGCCTCGGCCGCGCTCTTGCGGTAGTATGGCGGGGGGCCCCCCAGCTCCCTCGGCGGGAACAGCACGCGGAGGTCAATGTCACCCTCCTGCAGCATCTCCCGGATCGAGGCCACGGACCGCATGATGCCCTTGACCTCCCTGCTGGCCTTGTTGATGTCGACGGCGGCCTTTGCGATGGCGTTGATGTCCTTGTTCTCGAGGCTCGGCTTGCTGCGCACCTCGCCGATGAAGACGGTCATGATGATGAGCGACAGGCACTGCTGGTGGAACTGCAGCTGGCTCCGGTACTCGGCCAGCTTAGCTGTCACCAAGGGCCAGCGCAGGCGCCTGAGCAGCGGCAGCGACGCCGGCACCAGCGAGAGCTCGATCGCCACCTTGCCAGCCCGGCCCGGCTCCGTGCCGGCGTTGAACTCGTCGAGCCGGCGGCGCAGCTGCGCCTCGACGACCTCGCCGTCGTCGGAGCCGTTGAGCATGACGGCCTCGATGCGCCAAAACACCAGCAGACACCTGTCGGCGTTGCTCTTGACGAAGGCGAGGGCGTCCTTGGAGAAGAGCCGCGTGCTGCCGGGGCCGCCGCCGCCGCCGCCGGACGAGAGGTTGTCGGCCTCCATGTCCAGGTACTGGTGGATGAGGCGCAGCGAGTCGGCGGTCGATTCGATGCTGGAGCTGACGGCGAGCAGGCCCTCGCGGGCGCCGCGGACCTGGCTGCCGAACTCGTGCAGGACCTCGCACAGCTCAATCGCAAAGGCCGCGATGCCGATGACGGAGCTGGCCGCCCCGATGGCCGTGATGGGGTCCATTGCGACGGTGTGCGTTGAGGGGAGGTTGTTTTCGACCGCCGGACGAGGAGCTCGGATCTGCTCGCTGGCGGTGAGCTTTGCTCGATGTGAGAGGAGTTATTCTCGGGACAAAGACGCGCGCCCAAAGAGAGAGAGAGCAAAGGCAGCGCGGGTTGCCGACGTGTCGTACCAGAAATCCAGCCCAAGCATGGTCCTATAAGAAGCCCAACCGCCCAGCATCTCACGTGGTCTAACGCCAGTTAGCCTAGCCCATGTTATGGCAGGCCGTCATGGCAGGCCGTCAGGCCCCAATTGACGACAATTGTGCTGCATTGGAGGCACTGGCTGGTCCTTGGACGAGGAGGCTCCAGCGGGATCGACATTATGCATGCACGCCTGACAGAAACATGAACCGTGCCGCGGCAGGCCGATGGGGCAACCCGAGGGGCTGCACAGTGTCAATACATCAAACAAAAAGAAGCAGAAATGAAGAAGGAAAATACGACAGCCTCCGACGTTACCATGTCGGTTTGTCAGTTTCAGCTGACTTATCGGGCTCCTTTTAACGGGGTCTCAACTTTCCAGCCAAGTTGCTCTATATCACCAATCCTTGCCGAGTCTGTCGACGCCAGTGCCAGGTTTGCGCTTAGGAGTTGTTCAATAGGGCCACCATCGCCGAGAGATATTAGCCAGAGGAAATTAGGTTCAGAACAGACATCACAAGCGGGTAGTCTTTCTGACTGAACACTTGACCTCTCCTATCCCTGTCATCGGGCAACGTCAGGCTGGTGTCCTGTATCTGGCCCATGTCACAGGTCTCCGTTCGCTGGTGTCATTGAGCGTAGCACAAGGCCTAATGCTTGCGTAAAAACCCTTGACAAGAGATTAACTAGCAGGTTTAATAAATGCATGTGATCCAAAACACAACGCCAAACTCCGCCGTCCATCTCCTCCGTCTAGCACACAGCGCCATGGCCTCTAAATGCTCACTCTAAATACTCTAAAATGCTATCCCCCGCTTCCATCTATGCTCACAGTCCATCCCCCCGACCGCGCTCTTGTGCGCACAGCCCACCGCGCGCTTAGCAGCGGTAGTAGCACTTGTAGCTGTAGGCCATGCGCTCCTTTTTGTTGTCCGAGACGGTGTAGCACTTCTCGCCGCCCGCAAAGATGGCGTTTCCGGTCTCGCCGAGCTGCCTCTGGCAGTTCTTGTCCTCGAACAGGGCGCAGTTGGTCCCGTAGATGCCGTTGCCCGTGGCCTTGATGCTGCGCAGGCCGTCCTCGACGGTGTGGCATCCCTTCTTGCACTGCAATTACGGGGGGAAGAAAGTTTTTGGTTAGCAAGGAAGTATAAGGAAATGGGGGACGGAAGGGGGATCACAGGACGAAGGGAAAAGGGGGCAGATAGGGTAGGCAATGCACTCACGTCGGGCTTGATGTTGCCAATCAGGTCGCTGCAGCTGTCGCCGCGGTAGTAGCGCCCGCACTCGCCGTTGACAATGCCGGCGGCGCCGCAGCCGTTGGCCCGGCGGAGGACCTCGCCGCTGGCGAGGGCGGCCGGGTCGACGGTGACCGAGTCGACGGCGTCAAAGGGGACGGCGTTGGCGAGGCCGGCGGCGAGGACGAAGATGACGGTCTTGGTGACGGAGAACATTTTGTTGGGTTATGGGGGGTTGGTGGGGGTGGGGTGTGAGATGTCTGAGCGGTTAGATGTGAGAGTGGTGGATAGAGCGAGAAGCTGCTGAAGGCTGTGGATGGATTGGGGCCGGTGGTTGTGCTGTTGAGTTGGATGTTGATGTGGATGATGATGATCCTTTTTTTCGTCTTCCAACTGCGTCCGCCTTGGTTGTTATATACGCAGATCTTCCTCCATGGCCTCGACGTGAGGTCGTCGTATTCACCGTCCGTAGTAAGTCTGGACATTCCACTGTCGACCGACGCGTCCGATCGGCCATCGCGGCCGCAGCCCGGTCCCGTCTGCAGCCCGAGAGGCCTAGGCCCAGGGGGATTGCAGTCATCAGCCACGTCCTGCGCCAACAAACGAGGCCCACGATCGTCTACGAGGGCTTACAGCACGGAATAGCGTCGTGATTTTGGCCCGGGAGGCGCTGCTGCTGCGCGTAAGAGTCGTCGTCCAACTGTTGGACAAGCGCAGGCTCCGCGCGCTTATGTTACAGGCGCGGAGGAGCAAAAAGCGCGGGAAGCCAAACATTTGGTTTGGGCTATTTCGGGTTCAGTTGGAGAGGATTGAACCCAGCCGGCGCGAGGCACGGGTTTGTGTTCGGGCCAGGCCCGGGCAGTGTGTATGTACATGCTTTCTCCCGGCCTACCATCGCAGCCTCGTCGTATCAGATATATGAACTAGGATGTGCGCTGGTGAGATTGGCTCAAGCGCGGAATCTCCATGCCACGGCTTCGCCACAGGCCAAGCCGGGAAAATCGACACTAAAGACGGGTGGACGGAGGCGGCACAGCTGGTGTAAGTCAGCGGGGGTTGTCTGTTCCCCCTGGGAGGGCAAGTGGCGCAGCAAAACCGGCACCCATCAGCTCCGTGCTCGAATTAGGCTTGACCAATCTTAGCGCTGTCATCGCAACCTGTAGACCAAATTAACCTTTTTTTCTTCCTCCAGGAAGTCATCCCATTCGGCGACGCTAGCGAGGCGATCCCGTCCTCTTGGCACCCCTCAGCCCTATCACCGTGCAGTGCCATTTCAAAAAAAAAAAAAAAAAAAAAAAAAAAAAAAAGCCCCGCTCGTATGCAACTAGCCAGACACCTACGAGAACTGGAGGTCAGCGAGATACCATGGCGGTCTGACAGCACTATCGGAAAGCCCATGCCAATCAGAGCCATTCGGGCTCGTCTGAACCCAAGGGCTTGGGCATCACCTCCCAGCCAACCTCGCAGCCCTCGACGCTAGCAGCATGTCGCACAGCCCTCATTCGACCGAAGCCCGTGTCCATGGTCTCCAGAAGGCCGGGCGGCACGTCGCCCTGCCTTTCGTAGTCGCGGCCCTCGAAGCCGGTGGCGCCGGGGTACTGACCCAGGCTGCGCAGGTACTTCATCACGCCGGCCAGGGACACATCGACGCGCCACGCTTGAGTGGTGGCGGAGGCGGAGGCGGCGGCGGCGCGGCGGTAGACGGCCGCGAGGACGCCGGTGGTCAAAAAATATCCCGCGGCGTGGTCGAGGGCCTGACAGGGCATCGGTCTGGCGGCCTCGCCGTTGCCGGCGTGCTCGGCTTCGGACACGTTCATGCCAGCGCACGCCTGGACCAGAGAGTCGTAACCCCTGCGGCCAGACCAGGGACCTCGAGGGCCAAAGGCCGATAGGTTGGCCATGATGATGCCGGGGTTGCCCTTGGCCAGCTCCGCGGGCGACAGACCGTGCGACGCGAGGGAGCCTGGACGGAAGCCCTGCGCGAAGACGTCGCAAGTCCGCAGGAGCCGTAGGAGACGGGCTTTGTCCTCGGGCTTTTGTATGTCCAGCTGTACGGTACGCTTCCCACGGCCGAGGTCGCGGTCGATGGCGGGCAGGTCGGGGAGGCTAGGGGAGGTGACCCAGACGACGTCGGCGCCGTGAGCGGCCAGCGTCCGGCCGCAGAGCGGGGCAGCAATGACCCGGCTCATCTCGACAACCCTAAGGCCCTTGAGACACTTGGAGCTCCCGCTGGGCATCCAGGCCGGAAACTCCTGGGCCGGCGTGGGCGACACGTCGGCGGGCTGGGGAGCAAGCGGGTTGACGTCGATGGGGAAACTGCTTATTGCCCTAGACTGTGGAAGACAGTCCCACTGGGCGTACGAGCGCAAGGCGTATGCGGCGAGCTTGCCCTCAGCAGTAGCGACGTTTTCGAGATCAACTGCCGACCAGTTGGCGATTTTGCCGGCCGCGTCATTTCGGCTGGCTTTTTCATCCAATCCCAGCAGCTCCAGCATGCCGTAGCGGTGGTTGGGGAACGAATCGTGGACGCGGATGTGCCCATCCGAAGTCTTGTGCAGGCCGCCAACGGGTCCCCAGGACGAGGTTGGAGGCTTGCCGTCGAGGGTATAGAGGCGCTCCGATTTGAAGTCGACGGCAGCATGGGCGAGCTGCACATGCACCTTGGGAACGGTACGGAGCTTATTGTGCAGCGTATGGATCTGTGCGGCAGCAAGGGCGGACAAGGCGATAGAGGACTGTGCCAGAACACCTATTTTAAACGAAGAAGGAAGGGCGGGGTTTCCATCATCGCCAGTCAGCGTGACCGAACCAAGGGCCTCCTCAGGGAGCTCTAGGCCGAGCCAGATTTCACGGACGACATCCATGGCACTGAACCGATCGCGCGCGACCGCCTCTGGAAACCTTTTGAAGCCAGGAATGGCAAAGGGGTTTGGTTTTGCTTTGCAGTTGGCTGCGTTTCGACTCTTTTCCGAGTCCTCGTCGACCTTGGCACTACTGCCGCTGTTGGTGGCAAGCGAGCCAGCCGCGGGTACTCTGACGGCCAGCAGAGGCGCGTGCTGCTGAGTGCCCAGCGTGTCGCGCTCGCCTACGCTGCCCTGGGCCCATGGTCGTACAATGGTGCATTTCCATGCAAGGGCGGGATCGAAGTACATGTTTGTCAAGATGTCCTCATCTTGGACTCTGTAGCGGGACTTGATCATGTCGTTGGTCAAGACGTTGGCCGCCTTGACGCGATTGTAGGCAGCCTCGTTGTCGAACATGACGTCGAGCGTCAACTCAAAAGGTCCCGAGTTTTTGGAGCGAATGATGGTGGCGAGATGGCCAAGGCTGGCTTCGCCGCTGGGGATCTGCTTTTTGGTCATGGGCGCGAGCTCTCCATTGTCCAGATTTGCATACCTCTCCTTAGAAATGGAAGGGCACGGCTCAGGTGCGGAAACTGTCGACCGGATGATGTGATTTTTGATGGCGAATAACGAGACCTCCTCACCTGGCTCAAGATCGACCAGGTGGTACAGGCTGAACTTGAACACTGCTCCAGCGTCCTGCTCATGAGGTGACAGCGGGCTGGCTAGATTTCCTGTGGTGGCGATCTGGTTCGGGTAGGCAAAGTGGAGGATAGATGCCCTGGCGTTGTTGGCGATGGTGTGGGAGAGCTCAGCGGTGGGAGCGACCACCTCGCCGAGGATTGCGAGTTCGTGAGCCTGGCTTGCCTGGGTGGGCTCCAGTGGGCCCATGACACCGTTATTCCCGTAGACGTGGTAGATGAGGCGGCAGCTGTCGGACTGGTCGAGCTCAGGGAACAGCTTCTGCGTGTACTTTCGGACGCGCTCCAGGAAATCGTCGATCTGGCCAATCAAGATGGGATCCCTGATTCCACCAACAAAAATGGTGCGGTATCCCAGGTGGGTGACGCCCTCGAGCTTGATCTGATACGGGCGGGCCTCGAATCTGGCACCCGAGACGCGACAGGTCTTTGGGGTGATTTGCTCGTACCGAGCACCGTCGAGAACCAAGACGCCCCCAGGCCCCGGGAGGCGATCGGGGCGAGTCTTTTCGTAGAGGGTATGGGCGGCTACGGACTGGGGCGTGCATCGCTCGGCCGGCGAGAGCGGCGTCAGATCGAACGAGTCGGCGCGCATGGTGGCGATCATGGAGCGGCCCTTGGGGACGGCGCAGATGCCGCCGCATTCCATGATCTTCCCCATGTGCCAGGCCGCATCAGGCGACACGTGGTGATACATGGAGAAGGCTGCAAAGGGAGCAGGGTCGTATGAGCGGCCGCCTAGGATGATGTCGGGATCGCCCTTGAGGGCCTCGAGGTAAGGCTCAGCCCCCATCTGGGCGACCACGTCGACAGCGCCGTCGACCACTTCGGCGGTCAGAGGCTCGACGGGACCACAGGGGCCAACTTTCAAGACTGCGATGCGGGACTTTATGAAGTCGCGGTCCATCCCGGCATCGATGGTAGCAACCTTGAACGAGTACCCTTTACGGTCGGCAATCTCGGTCACGATAGCTAGCATCTCGACGACGTGCTTTCTGCTGCCATCGCCGCCCACAGAGCTGATAAGGACTCGGATCTTGTGGTGGAAGCAGGCGGCCAGCATGGGCTCGAGGTCGCGGACGTACGACCCGCGGCCGCAAGTCATCTTTCCCATTCCCAGTTTATAAGGGCCGCCGTCAGTGGAGCCGCTATCGACGATGATGGCGAGGGGCTTGTACTTTTCGATGCCGTACCAAAACTGGTCCACATCATACCCGTACCCCAGCATGGCGTTGGGGGTGAGGATTGTGAACTCGCCGTCGGGGCCAGGATCAGGCATTTTGGGCAGCGTGGGTGGTGCCGATGATGGGCTAATGTGCTCGGGAATGTCAGGCAGGTATCTTGCAGGGCCGGCTGTTCTACATTGAAGCCAAGCGTACGGTCAAAATCCCCAAATATTGGAGTCGAGCAAGAAATCCGCGAAACTTCCGAGGCTCGGGTGAGGTCAAGAGCCGAGGGCTGCATCGGGGTTTGTTTGCATGGGCGTACACTGGATGCGGGGTCACGCCCGAAGAAATAGCACTGGATTTTGGTTGAGGCTTCCGCCCCGTTCGTTCATTGCCCAGAAGTGACGTCCTACTAAACACTTGTGTAAACATCAAGTATCGACACTCTAGTAGAGCTGCACCCCCCACTCTTCTCCCGAAAAACGGCCGCCATCCAGACAGGGCCTCGTTAGAAAATCGCAACGGCGTTCGGAGGGCTGGCCACGCCGGCCGGCAGGTTCAGCGGCACGCTGACCAAGAAGAAGCTCCACCTCCGCCTCTCGGCGCAGGCCGCGGCGAGCGCCTCGAGATCGAAGCTCTCGCCGATGGGCATGCCCCAGCCGCTGAGGAAGACCTCGTGCATGCTGACGCCCCAGGGCTTGGGGCTGGGCCAGGCCTCGTAGGCCATGGCGTCGCCGGCCACGGCCGCGAAGGCGCGCTCCCAGTGCCACCGGATCGCCTCCCCGCTCGCCTCGACGCCGATGGAGGCGCGCACGGCGCGAGAGGGCAGGGCGGCGCGCTGCTCGATGCTCAGCTTGTGGTAGGCCGGCATCCAGCCAGTGCGGACGAAGAGGATGTCGCCCGTGCGGAACTCGACCTCCTGCTCCGCCGCCACCTCGAGGAGCTGCGAGAGCGGGATGGCGTGGATGGCGAAGTGGTCGACCGAGATGTTGTTGCGTTGGGCGTAGGACCACCAGTCGAGGAGGACGCCGCGGCCTGTTATGGTTTTGATGGCGATGTCTGGAAGCCGCCATTTGTCAGTATATCAGTGTGTGCCTTCTCGACACTGGGCAAAACTAACTTTGAACTCCTATCTTGGTGGTTGCCTGGTCGCCAGTTATCGAGGCCTGCGTCACGCCGTTGTAGAACCGCAGCGTATCTTGGTACGGGTAATGTCTCAGACCGTCCCAGTGGCTGGAGCCTTGCGTGTTCATGTCCAGCTGGATAGTCGCAAGTTAGGATCGACTCGACTCAACTATAGGAAGACGGCTAGAATAGAGACATGTATACCTCATCATCGTTCGCATAGCCTTTAGGATTGATGCGGTGTACAAGTGGCTTGCGTGCAGGGTTCATGGGCTTGACGAAGCCATCCAGAGCCAGGCTGGAAGGAAACATTAACACCCAACCAGCGCACTCCCTGAGGGGCGCAACGAAAAAGGCAATGCGGCGACTTACTTTAGCGGCACGGTGACGCCGTCGACCGCCTCAGCGGCGGCCTTTTGGATGACCTCGGGAGTGAGCAGGTTCAACGCCCCGAGCTCGTCATCCTTTCCCCAGAGTCCCCAAGCGGATGCCTTGGGATCTCCCGCGTTCAGGGGCAAGGAGTCAAACGCCGGGCGCGGCGGTTGGGGCTGTCCCGGCGTTGTCAGGGGAATTCCCAGGCATGTCGAGATGCAGAGGCTGTAAACGCCCCAGGCTAGGAGTGGCGGCATCTTGGAGGCGTCTTATGTTGGTAAGCCCGGGAAAATCTCTTCACGACTTACTTGCTGGCGATCGACCAAGGTGCCGACTCGGACATTCGCAACGCCGTTTGGATAGCGCCATCGGCACGGTTTTATTCGTCCTCGTCCTTGCCGACCCGGTGAGAATGCCGGCCGGCAGGACATCTGCCGCGATCCAGGGCCTGGCAGGCACGCAGGTCGGGGTTGGGAGTGGGGAGCTACCCCCAGAAAGCGCCTCTTGGCAGGCCGGCCCCACGCCGAAGGTTGCCTTGCCGGGTAGGACATTTTCCGGCCACGGCGGTGGACAGCCGCCGTGCACGTTGAAAGGGAATATCGACCAGACGCACACCGAGATGCCTGTTTCTTGTCTCCTTTAACTCACTCGAAGCCTTTATTCGAAGCCCCCGCATGCGCGGGTGGAGTTACTCATTGATCTCGAGCTGAGAGGCCAGGCGCCGTCTGCGAGGCCCAGTGTCACGGCAAATACAGGGTGGTGAGTTTTTGGGGGGAAATCCTTTGGCGAACCTTTGGCGAATCCGCGTTTTTGGACACGGGCTTTGTTTGCCAAACCTCGGACGGGATAAGAATCGTGTTGTCACTAGCAGCACCCAGCCACACAGCACCGGAAGCTGCCATGGAATTCTTGCTAGCCGGTGAGGCAAGCCGTCACCATGGCCGCGACAAATACGTGCCGGCAGTCTTCTCCGGCGCGGCCTCCAAGACAGTCGCGGCGGTGTGTGATTCATCTCTCGTGCTCGCTTCTCGTTGTGCAGCCATCGCGAATGGCGGTCAGGTCCCCGAGCCGGGAGCTCACGCTGAGCACCGGGCAAAGCACATCGATCAAGCTTTTTCTCCCGCCTAGAGACTAGGTAGGGTAACCTACCCCGACAAGGAGAGTGCCGGCCGCCGTGGTACGGAGGGTGGCTAGCGGGGCCGAGGCAGGCCAACAAACGAAGGCGCGGCAATGGAATGGAATGCTAAAAATAGAGCCGCCAGCAGCCCGAGACACAAGCCGCGCGCGCGGGAAACTCTGCCGAGGCACGGCCTCACCCGGGCATTCGCACAAAATAGGCCCCCAGGCGTGACGTGACGGCAAGCGCAAAGGAGGAAACACCGGCGCACGGCAGAAGGGGACGAGAGAGAGCCGAGGTCGTGACGATGAGTACTGGATGCACGACATTTCGGGGTTTGGGCGGTGAAGGCCCCCTTCGGCCAGGGCGCGTGTGCGTGGTGTGTGTCTGCTATGTGGCCATCAACACAGGCAGCAGGCGGCGGGTGATTGTGGTGGGATGCTCCCAAAGTGCCTGCATCGGGTGACACGAGGGGGACAGCGGCGCCCCCAAAAACGGCTGCAGCTGTCGACGGTGCGAGAGAGGCCGGGAATACGAGGTCTTGGCAATATCCAATGCGATCGCCCGCTAGACGTCACAAGGCACCGCCCGCAGATTTTTTTTCCCCCATGCATGCTCCGTTTGCGGTTGTCGATCGCCTTCTAGTGGAAAATCCCTCTCAGGTCTGGTTGGTGCCTCTCAAAGCCGTCAACCACATTATCAAGCCCCTCCTCGTAATCCCCACGCACGCAAACGGTTTTAGCAGCAATGTCTCGGGAACACGAGATGTGATGCTCAGCTCCGGCCGCCCACCTCAGCAAAACGACGCACACGACGTTGCATCCATCCGCTTCCAGCCAAAGAGCCGGTTGGCTGAGCTGGCCGAGTTGGTGTTCCTTTTTGCGCTTCGACCCGTTGCGGCAAAGCTGAGGTGACCGCCCCGCAGATTGACTCCTTCGACAGCACCACCCCACGTGGTTCGACCCGTCCAACCCGGCACTTCAGGGCCTTATGAGGGGTGATCCTTCCCCAAGTAGCTGTGCGCGGTGGGAAAGTATACGGCAAGACTGCAACGCTTCATGATATAAGTTGTCCGCCGCCGTAGCAATCCTTAGGTCAAAGTTCCTCCTTCTCCATCCACATTCGTCATCGGCTTCTGCACAACTGAAACAAAGCAGCAGTGCTCCGTGTTTGCCCCTCGCCCAACTCCTCTCCGACACCCAACATTCACAATGAACACGCTCCTCTCAGTCCTCGTGGCCATGGCCTCCCTAGCCGCCGCGTCGCCCATACTCCCGCCGTCGACCGCCCTCCTCTCGCGGCGCGACTCGGCGGAGCACGGCTGCACCGACACCTCGTTCGGACACCCCGACGCGTTCGCGTGGAGCGTCGCCGGCTTCGACTACCACGCCAGCTACACCTTCACGACGCCGGCGCACCAGAACAGCTGGGGCTACGTCAACTTCAACCTGACCAACCCGGCCCTGGCGCCCGCCGTCGCCGTCTGCTCGGCCTCATCCAACCAGCCCACCGACTTCTTCTACGGCACCATGGAGTACACGTGCGCCCTTCCGGGCGGCGGCCCCATCGCCGGAGGCGGCCGTGGTGGGGAGGCCACCTTTGATTTCAGCCGGCCCTCGGGTGTGCTCAACATCAAGCAGACTTGGAGCTGCCACGACCAGGACCCGCAGTACCCGTACGTTGTCTTTTTTTTTTTTTTTTTTTTGCTTGCTGTGCCTTTGGTGAAGCGCTAAGAGACGAGACCGGATCGGCAGAATCACCTTTTGGGCATACGGCAACGCCACCCTGTCTCTCGAGTGCGAGGACACGACGTGGACGAACCCAAACTGGACCCAGGGCCAGATCTACTCGAGTCGCACCGTCCAATGCGCGCCCGTCAGCCTCCCGATCAAGCCCCACACCATGACCGCTGTCGCATAATGGCCTGCGTCTAGTGCTTCTGCGTCCAGTCTTCCTCCTCGTCCTCGAAAGGCCATCATCTCATTTCCCTTTTGCCGTTTGCGATTTTAAACCCCACCATCCTTTGACAAGGCACTGATGATTGTGATGACGTCAAGAATACTTTGTAATTTAATCACCCCCGCCTAATAAATACCAATCTTTCCATCTTGACCAAGCATTTCTCGGCTTTCTTCCGGACAAGACGCTCTCGACCTCGATGCCCCGCGTCTCTCAGCTGGTGACGAACCCGCCAAGGCACTGCGAGTAGTCGTAGCGGTCTACCGGCGCGCAGAGGCAAAAGCCGGGCGAGTCAAATGGCGAACCGTACCCTCGGCCCCGTGGCCAGCAGCACTGCATATTGATGGCGTTCCTGAGGTTTTGTTGGGCGCAGGGCGCGCACTGCCCCGTGTAGTTGCATCGCTCGGCTAGAAAATCGAACTCGAAAGCGTCAGCAGGGGCGGGGGGGATATAAGCTCCAAGGTTGAATGCGACGCCGATACGGAGGTCCGAGACATGACCCACAGGTTTTCTTTTCGTCCTGAATGCCGCTCTGCCTGGAATGCAGACGGGCTGGGCCCCGGCTGTCGGTCGGCGATGCGCTGGCAGAAGACACCAGGCATGCGACGAGAAGGAGGAGGCCCAGAAGCCCAAACAGCGGTGACCTGGTCGCCATGGTCTCAAAATCTGTATCCCGACTGGAGTTCGGACGAGACGGCGTCGTTTTGTTTGGTCGCTTCGGGAAAGGCGGGGGGCCTCGCGAGTTTGGACGGCAGCTGGGTAAAACGTGGACGACACAGAAAGGCACGCATCGGTCCCTTTAAATCCGGGGAAATGCAGAAAGGATCCCGCACGCTACGGGGGGTCAGACCAGCCGCGCCCGCACGGCCGGCGACAAATCAAGGCAGGATGACCAGCGCCGGCCTGGCGCTATACCTTTGGTGTGTCTTGGCTGCAGCCTGGGGTCGCGCGATCCCAACTTCCATCTCCCAGCGCTGAGTGCCCGGAGATGATGGCCTCGATGCGAGTCGAGTGTCGTGTTAGCGTAATTCCCGTTAGCGCGACACTCGACAAGCAGTCGTCAACACCACCACGACACAAGATCCCCGAACAGTTGGAATCCTTTGAACGCGTCCAAACTCGTCACTCAATTTCTCCTACACCTAGCAGAAAGATGAACCACTATCAACATGTAAATAAACCCCTGTCGTCTCCGCCCCGTCAGGACCGCGCTAACGCCAAGAGAGGAATGATGCTGTCAATATCAGGCACTTTGGCCAACCATATGACCCAACACGACCGCCAAGCGCGGGATCCGTGGCTTGTATTCAGCATATCGCTTGGAGATTATATTAATCTATGCGTTCATCCTTTTTTGCCTCCTGTGCTGTTCTTCGACAATCGGCGACGGCGGACCCTATCATGGCACGGCACGTGGATTCGCGTCGCCATCTGCCGCCCACTTGCCGCGCTGCAGCCGAGGGCAGCCCTGTAAATTCTATAAGAGCCACCAATCTCTCACCCCATGCTAGCCCTCAAGGCTGATTGATGGTGTGTGTGCTCGGGCCTCGCTCGTGCCCCGCTAGGTGCGCGACCATCCAAAATAGCTCCCGTGATGCCAAGCCGGGCGTCAAGCTCTATTTTCTTTTCGGCCACCCAGGAAAAGAACGAATCTCGACACCTGCCAAGCGGTTAGCGGTGACCTTGGACCATAACAACCAAGTGTGCGTGTGTGGTAGGCGTGTCGAGGCCAAACTTACGTCATCGCCATCCATACCCATCTCTCTACTGGAACGCGCAGCCGGTGCGCTCGCCGCCACAGACCAGCTGCAAAAAGGTGACGAGTTAGCTTTCGGGCAAGCCCCCAAAGTCGTCATGGTTCATTCCACCTGGGGAGGAGTATGGGGGGAGTGAGTGTGGGCTTACGAAGCGGCTGTCGTCGGGGCAGATCCACTTGTCGCAGACGCCCTTGACGTCCTTGTCGACGCTCTTCTGGCCGTCGCACAGGCGGTTGGTGCGTCCGATAATATAGCCCCCGTTGCAGGCAGGGACGATGTTCTTGCAGTTCACCCGCTTGTCGAGCGGGCCCGCGGCGACCAGGGCGACGGCGGTGGCGATGGATAGAACGGTGGAGAACTGCATGTTTGTCAAGTTTTGGGTTGTGGATGGGTATTGGGTGGCTTTGTGTGATGTGGAGGGTGTTGCTTGAGGTCTTTGAGGACTTTATTGAGTGATGGGTAGGTGTTGTTCGAAGGGCTGGTTGTGGCGAGATGAGTTGGTTGAATGGAAAACATGATAGAACACCTCTCGAGGACAGCCGCGTAATTGTATCGTCAAAAGGCCAGATGCCGTCAATGTCTATACACAGGGTTCGTTCCATCTTCTCTGCCTTCCTAGGTTGTCCTGCCACTGGCTGGCCCGAATGTCGAGAATAGAAGTCCGGCGCTTGTCGACGGCCGCTCAGCCTCGTCCATGGACTCGGGCCGGGTCGGAATGTTTTCTTCCCTGAGCACCAAAAGTTATTGGGCTGCCGTAACCTTCGGCTTCTGGGGCTCTGGCACGCTCTGGAGCAGGCAGCCAGAAAGCGAGCACAGCGAGCACAGCCATCCTAGCGACATCTGAGGAGAGATGGGATGGGTTTCCGGACGTTCGGGTGTAAGCCCAACGCATCGACCCGCAAAAACAAGAACCCTCCACGAGCACATGTCAACCATCGGCCCCGGACTTTAACCTACCATATTAGGTTGCTGACATTGGGTGATAATCCGCCAGGGGATAACACGGAACCCGAAGATCTAGACCAACGCTGACGCGAATTGCGCCTAGCAGCTCGAGCCCGGCATAAAAGATTCCAGACCCCAAGTGGCTGTTGGGCTGCGGAGCTTCGGGGACGCAGGGCTGGCACCTGCACTTGGAAGGCACTGGGCGTCGGCGGAGCATAGGATCTGCGAACCCGTGGTCCGTGGGTCCACGAGCACGAGGGACGGGCATTTGGTGATGGACTCCCTCTATGCGTAGCATAGACTCCATTTCCCTTGATAGATTCCTTCCCAAAGGAGCCAACCCCAAATCACAGCCATCGTTGTTCGCCACTTTTGGGCATCTCCGAGCTGACAGTAGAAGCCTACTCCTGCCAAAAAAATCCCGGGAAAATAGTACATGTCCCAAACCATAGCCCAATAAACCCCGAGCAAACACCAGAATCTTAAAAATACACGGGTCCTATTCCGCACATCAGACCATATCCTTGACGCGCCTCTCCTGCTCCTCCACCGCCACGGTGATCTGCGTCGTCGTCACGATGCGGTGCTGCATCCCGTACGGCGAGCACGGTGACAGCGACCGCTCGTCGTCGTGCTTCTGGATGATGATGTCGTCCGAGGGCCTCCCCTCCGAGACCGTCTCCATCGGCACCTTGTAATCCACGCCGAGGCGGCCGCCATGGTAGGGACGGCCGGCGGCGGCGGCGGCGGCCTTGGGGCCAAGACCGCCGCCGCTAGGGTACATCTCGAACCCGTCGTCGCCGTACGTACGGGTCCGCCTTCCGACCCGCCGCCCGCGCCTTGCTCTCGGGCCGCGACCCGCTCGGGGTGGACCGCCCGCCGGCGCCGGGGGAGGGCTTGCCCCGGCTGCGCATGTAGCCGGGGCCGGCGGGCGTCGCGCCCTTGCTGCCGCTGTAGCCATACCGCGCCGTGCTGGCCAGCATACGCTTGAACAGGGGCTTGAGGCAGGGGATTGAGCCTGCGATGATGGCGACCGAGATCTCCACGTTGTACCTGCAGTTATGGAGATTTGTCGGTTAGCCCCGGTTAGCCCCAATAGTTGGGGTATGTGGTTGTTGTTGTTCTTACCAGATGGTGATGTCGGTGCTGTCCCACATGTAGTCGCCCTTTAGCCCCCATTTCGTCATGAACATTGTTTTCAAGATTGCCGCTGTCACGGTTCTGGAGGAGCATTTTGTTGGCGGCGCCGCAGGCAAGAAGCGCGTTCGAAATCTCGACGGGTAGGCTCACAAGAATCCAAGCGACAGGATGCCCATAACTGCCGACTTGACCCTCCAGTTCATCTGCACGTTCCACAACATGGGGATGGGTATGACGGCGAGAGGGCCGCGTTGCTCAGGGACGAGGCGAGGAGGAAGCTCGTCTCCATGCACTGGCCGGGAATCGACTTGTTCCATATAAACTCCATGGGCTTGCATTGGAGCATAGTTTGGACTGGCATGCCCTTGATTTAGCTTGGGTCCGTATGTCTGGCGTCTTTTCCTTGGTGCTCCAGCTTCCCCCAAGTCACACTTACAGACTCCCTGCAGCGTCAACGCGACGCTGAGGCCCATGGTTGCCCAGATGATCCATTTGAACACCCTGGATGATGCGAACCTAAGCAGAAAGCAGGCGACGCTCAGCCGCGCGAGGCCGATCGAAGCGAGGCAGATGGGCTGGGTCGCAAAGTTGGCATGCTGCGCGGCAACGAAATCGGCCTTGCCTATGTACTCGATATGCCTGCCCGCGCCTTTTTCGGCCTGGATAACGACAAGGACGGTCATTGCGACAAAGGAGAGCTACATCCGGGGATAACTGCATGTTAGCAGGGCGCCGTCCTACCTCTCCCATGTACTGGGGAAGAAGGGCCTCGGGGGGCAGGAGGGCTAGTGACGCCAAAGGGTCTCGAACGCACCGCCGATAGAACCATGAGGTAGTCATCTGTGAACAGACTGTTGATGATCCTGATGCGCACGTAGAGCCGCATGCCAACGATGGTTAAGGCTAGCGCGGTGAGGGAGATGGACGTTGCGAGAAGCTCGGGGCCCCTATTCTCGTTGGGCCGCTCGCCGGGGAGGTAGACATGGAACGGCGGCGGCGCCGTGACCACGGGCCCGTTCGGCAACCGCACCATCCTCCTGGGCCCCGCGCAGCCCATCAACGACATCCCCGTCGGCCCCATGGGCGGGCTGGGCGAGAACCCGCGCCCCTTCAAGCGCGACGTCGGGCCCGGCGTCAACATGCGCTACGCAAACTACACCACGGTCCGCAACCTCCTCCGCGCCCCCGACGTCGACGCCTTCCGCCTCGTGTCCGAGGGCATCAAGGAGACGGCCGAGATCGGCCCGCACGGCGGCGGCCACTACGTCATGGGCGGAGACCCGGGCGGCGACGTCTTCACCTCCCCCAACGACCCGGCCTTCTTCGTCCACCACGGCCAGATGGACCGCGTCTGGGCCCTGTGGCAGGAGATGGACCCGGCCGCGCGCCACTCGGACCTCGGCAGCGGCCTGTACGCCCACCAGACCTGGTGGAACGCTCCCCCCAGCGCCCTCACCAGCATGGGCGAGGTCCTCGACCTCGGCTACGCTGCCGGTAACATTACCATTAAGGAGGTCATGGACACGACCAAGGGCCCTTTCTGTTATTTCTACCAGTAAAGGCCAACTTGCGCTTGAGTACCTCGTTTAGCGTCACGGCTGTCTAGAACCCCTTAATGGATAATACCCTCTACCAATATTAATAACCCCATGCCTCTTTTCTCCCACTCATCGCGATTTAATAAGCCCGTAGTCGCTGTGCCGCAAGGATAAGCTTGGTCAGCAAGATACTGACCAGAATAGCATGCTCATCCCAAAGAGTCCCGGGCCGACTTCCCAGCCAGGGCTGTTGCTATGATTGTGTGAGGTGGGTCACGTCATGACATACCCACAACGCTAGTATTTAGTCCTGGGACCGTTGGCTTTCCTTTGCCGGCTTTCCCTCAATCCGACAGTTTGCACCTCCGACAATGATACACGCTCTAAATAGCTTGTAGCTAAACGCAGATCCAGCTTCGTTTGCATTGTATATGCTGCATCCTCCTACAGTTTGCGGCCTTAAATAGAGCTAAAGGTCACAGTGGAGAAGCCATCGGACGCAAATACCACGAATCGGATGTCCCCTGAACAGATATCTGATAACAACAGCATTTCCACAACGACATGGTTCTTCTAGATACACCAGACGCCACACACGAACACCCCGCCAGATATGATCTTTGTGTCCAACATGAGCTACCTCGCGTTGAAAATAGGGAAAAGAATATGAACGCAGCGCCGGCACCCAGAGTCGTAGCTAGCTGTTTCCATGTCGGTATGGGCTATATGCAGTGGCCGGTGCATCTCTGTCGTTTCGACCGGCTCACGGCTCAAGGTTTGTATCCCTCAAACACGTGTTGGATCCCGCCATCAAGACAGGGTTTCGAATGTGTTCTTGGTGAGCTAAAACTCACAGGCCAATCCCACCACCCCAAGCCATTCCCACCCCCCGCGCATCAGTCTCCTTCGATGATCCAGGCACCACTCACTACAGGAGTCTAGGATATTAAACGTTAAAAGTGCGGAGCCCTCCAGGGGGTCTGCGATACATTGATTTGGCAGGATTTTCTGTGGGAAAAAGAGTAGTTGGAGATCCCTAAAGGGCTCCGCACTTTTAACGTTTATATCCTAGACTCCTGTACGAGACATGCAGAGCGAGACCTAGCGTCAAACAAGCTTAACGAGCTTAATAGGCTGTCGAGGGAGCTGCCACACTGCCACCTAGAAAACCGTGTGGCGACAGGCTCTCCCCTCCGCCCATACTAGACCAGTCCAGCCCACGATTAAATAGGTAGCAGAGTCCCCGTTCGATGGCGAAACATGTGTCGGTATAGCGCAGTTTCACCTTGATCGTGGGCATTTCAGTGGTTCAAGTGACACGGACCAGCCACGACGAGTATACAAAGCGACCAGAAGACTGAAGCGACGGCCTCCTCGATAACCTACGATTCTGAACCACATGCCAAGCCTCCAGAAATCAATATACAACCCCCCAAGGCGCCGCGGTGACTTTGTTATCCTAATCGCCCAGACGAACCGGAGCGACGCTGTCCACACATCCCCGAACACAGCACACCGCAAACCCCCAAGCATGGGTCACCTCTGGCAGAAAATCCTACCCTGGTCCAAGAAGCCACCGGAACGCAAGGCGCACATACAAGCCTTTATCGACCAGACGACGGCGGCGGAGCAGGAGCGGCAGGAGGCCGAGGCGAGGCGGCAGCGACGAGACCTATCCAGGGAAGAAGCATCACCGCCAGGGTGCCAAGGCGGCTTGACGGACCACGAGCAGGCGCGGTGCGAGCGGTGCGGCGGCAGGCGGCCGGCCGGGCCCCCCATGCGGGCAAAGACGGCGACCGAAAACGCCCAAGATCCGACGCGGGCCTACTGCGAGTACGGACGATCTTGGACGTTTCCGGAAGCCCTCCCACCTCGGACCGGACCGAAAAGCGGGATCCTGGGCATGTTCTGTCCCCGGAGGGCGATGAAGAAGCGACAGCAGCAGCAGCAGCAGCAGCAGCAGGGAGGAGGAGTGTCAGGACGGAATGTAGGTTCAAGGAAGAGAGCGCTGTGCCTGAAGCGGGATCGCTGATACGCCAACACTTTTGTCTGGCAGAATGCGAACACATACTGGAGCCGGCCAAACAGCAACACGAACTCGGTACCGCAAAGGAAGGTCGAGGTTCTCAAGGAGAAGGCCAGATGAAGGATCCTCCTACTGCCTTGCTACTTGCCCATCGGACTTGGATCATTCGCAGCCACGGGATCGGGGCCCCCGTTGCGCCAGGGCGCTTTGGATTAAAGATGCGGAAATGGCTGGCACGCAAAGTTACGAGACTAATGCCTTGCATCGCCGGCCAAGCAAGGGCTGGGGTGGGGCCAGGTCATGCGCACAAAGGCGGCCTGTCGAGGACTGACCCCCACAAAGATCAGGATGGAGAAATGGCGCGGATTTGGAGCCCAACGGCCCAACGGCAGTGAGGATGAGAAAAGGTGGTGACTGGGATGCCGAAGATGCCGAAGGCAGTTGGAATAGAGGTACCTATGGTAGAGTATCGACTCGAAACGAATGTCTGGATGTGTGTTCTATCGTTGCCCAAGCTGTACGGTCACCGTGTACTGCATGTAAGCCTAAAGCTCTAAAAATGCCAATAAGAGCATGCCTGTGGGAACCAAGCTCAGCATGGCTTTCCCCCGCTGCTATCAGAACGAAAAGTTAGCTCGCCGACAGCCACTCTCACCGGCCTGCCACTTGGCACGCAGTCAGTCGCCGCGGCATGCATCGCGCGGACGTCGATCGGCACGTTGCGGGTGGGCATGGGTCGCATCGTTCGTGCGCGCGTGGCTCGGGTGCCACTGGAGGTATGGCCGGGGAGGCAATGCCGCTTTCGAAAAATATCTTTTTTTTTTGTTCCAAGGCAGTGAGGGAAGTAGGAGACAAGTATCCACTATGTCGAGCAAGCATTCCAATACACTGGCCACATCCGATGGAATACCAGGGCATGTTTCTCTGGTTCGCTTCTGCCACTTCCTGGTTCATGTTGGAGGGGAGATGCCGTGAGCGATGTGGTGTTGCCGGAGAGGGCGGTGGAGGCCCTGCAAATCCCCCTTGCGTCGTTCCACGTTGTTGGTTGCGGCACGTGCGAAAACCCAAGAAACTTGGCACCTCACCGACGCCGTGTCAGTGGTCGGGAATGACATCACCCGGTGGAGAAGGCCAAAGGATCTCCAAATTTCGGCCCCACACCGCCCCGCCCGTGATGCGAGGACCCTGAATCATCACGTAAAAAAAAAAGGGCAGGGGTCGTTGCGTTCCCAGCCGCCACCGCCGCCAACAAAAGAACAAAGAGACAGAAAAAAAGTTTGGGGTTCTGGTTGCAATGCAGAATGCAGCCACCCCACTCGCCCTCTGTCACGGGTAGGCACGGATTGGGGTTAGCCGGACTTGCAGGTACCAGCTGCTAGGTGCCGTGCCTTTCCTGCGGGCATTCTTCATGCACAATCGGGGCCGGAAGGGATCCCTTCCAGTCCTGCCGCCTTTTTGGCCCACCCCTCTTTACCGCTGCAGGCAAGGGAAACGACAAAGAAGAAGAGAGCGGGCTCACATCTCACAGATGCGACGACGATTGCATGCCCTACTTTCCCGGACCTCCGGATATCCAGGCATGAGAATTGGTACTGTAACCGAGATCCCTCCCTCCCGGTTTGCCTCCCCAAGCCTGCCGCGTCCTCTCTCAGGTCCTTGGCGTCAAGAGGCAACACGGGCAAGACAAGACTCGTCAGTGCCGAGCACCCACGTTAGTCGAGAAAGAAATCGCGCGACCGACCGACTGCCGCGTCCTCGGCTTGGGGCCCGACAGTGGCGGCGGCGAATCGCTCATTCTGTGCCTCTCTCTATGCCTCCACAGTAGAGCAATTGCCTGGCACCAACGGGCACGTAGGCCCTGCATGGAGTGTGGGTTCGGTTCGGTTCGACTTGGCCATGCGAACTGACCGCTGCCAAATCGGCCGTCATTTCCCGGCAGGGGGGGACGCCTGACGAGAAAGCTGAAGCCGGTGTGCCAGTGTGTGTGTGTGTGTGTGTCTGCCAGTGCCATGAAGGAGAAAACCAGTCCCAAGAAAGCAGCGCCCAGAGCCTTGCGTGCTTGTGTCCGACTCGGCCCCCTCTCGCTCTCCCGCCCAGGCACTGTGTCCTCGGGCTCTCGCTAGGCCCGCTCCCACAGTCGCGTCGGTAGTTCGTCGCACATCCAAAAAAAAAAAACCCCCCATCTCATCGTTTGTTGCTCATCAGGCCCTGCGGTGGAGTCTTACCGCAACAGCGGGGAAGGTTGCCCCTTGCTGCCCGATGCCGGATTTCCATGCCTGTGCAAATTTGCCAGTCCGTCCCTCTTTTCCCGTCCTGCTTGCCCATGACTTCCCTTCTTTTTTTTTGCCCGCACACCACCAGGAGAGTACCAGCGGTGCTCTGTCCGTGTGCGAGGCTGCAGACTTGCGCGGGTGCTGTTGGCCTCCCTAGACATCACGGCCAACCCCGACCTCTGCTTGCTTCTTCCTCTGTTGCCCCCCCTGCCGTGCTGCTGTTGATTCGCTTCTCTGTCGTTTTATTCTACATTATATTATTTTATTGTTCCCGCCGAAGCCGCAGCGTAGTGGCTGGCACTCGAGATACCCAGTAAGCAGTTACCCGCGAACCCTCATGTTGGAGACAGGATGCGGATACGGCGATTGTACACCTTCTTCACCGTATCCGCCCTTTTAGCGGCCGCCGGACTGGCCCGGGCCGGCTGCGCCTCGGGCGGCATCACGTTTGCCTCGCAGTCCGACGTCGACGTTGCCAACTGCACCTTCGTGAACGGTGATGTCGTCATCTCGGCCACCGCCCCCGGCAACATCACATTCAACGACCTCAAGAGGATAAATGGCAGCCTCATCGTCCAGGGCTGCGGCGATGCCACATGCTCCCGCATCTCGGGCATATCCAGCACAAACCTGACCACCATCAACGGGCGGCTTCAGGTCTCGTCCGTTCCCAGCCTGAAAACCATCACCCTGCCCGGTCTGCAGCGCGTCGACCATGACCTTTTGCTGCAGGAGCTCCCCGAGTTGAACTGGGTCAACATGACCGGCCTCAAACGCGCCGGCAGCCTCAAGCTCTACTCGGCACCGAAGCTGATCACGGCCCAGATCGGGGTCAAGGGCGCCTCGTTCGACCCCAACATCGGCCTGAAGAACATCACGGGCAACCTCACGGGCTCCGCCGACGCCGTGGTCGAGCTGCGCAACGTCGGGCTCAGGGACCTGGACGGCATCCTCGACTTCTGGAGCGCGCGCCGCCTGCTCATAGACAGCCTGCCCAACCTCAACGTGCAGATGATCAAGTTCCTCAACGTCGACGAGATGCGCGTCGTCGGCAACGACAACCTCACCCTGCGCTTCTGGGAGTCGAACCTGAACGAGCCAAACAGCCCCGGCCCGGTCATCAACCGCCTCGTCGTGAGCAACATACGGAGCCTGTCGCCCTGCCTGCAGCCAGTCGTGCACGAGTTCCTGGCCTTCAACAACTCGGCCATGGAGTACCTGTACTTCAACTTTGACCAGCTGAACCACATCGAGATCCGCAACAACCCGCGCCTCAAAAAGCTCGTGTCGTGGGCGCCCCTGAACCGCTTCTGGCGCGACATCTACATCCACGACAACCCGCTGCTCTCCCTGAAGCGATTCCCGGGCCCCCGCGAACCCGGGGACAATGTGTCCGAGACCTATTGTAGGGATATCGCCAAGTTGCGTCGCGACCAGTGGGCGTGGTTCCCAAACACGTTTGACAATCTTGTCATTGCAGCTGACATTGACAACTCATTCTTGTAAGTTTTTTTTGGCGGCTCTGTCGGTGTGTTTCTTTTCCCCTTAATGTTGGCTTTGCTTCTCAGGCAGCACGTCATGCGCATTCTCGTGCACCCACATGCCTGTTACCCCCATAGACTGGAGCGCTTGGAGTTTGCAGCAATGTAGTCATTGTTGTTGGCCCGTACCGCTCTACGCCGTCTACTTCGCTGCAAAATCCTGCTCGGCGGTCATCATCCGTCCTATCCACCGGCGTGCTGGGTGTGGTTCGAGCTCTCTCGTAATATTTGGTCGCAGAGAGATCAAAACATGGGCCTGACAATTACGCCAGCAACGAAACGTTTACAAATCTCTGGCTCAACACCACGAGTCCAAGCGAGACGAAGCCCAAAGTCGTGGACCGCTTCGAGGTCAACTCGACAAACAAGACCTTTGACTGCAGCGCCCTCGATATCCTCCGCACCCAGAAGGGCGCCTTCCCGGGCCGCTACTCGTGCCAGGGGCAGACGCTACCCGCCGGCATCGCCGTGCCGAGCCTCGAGGGATCCATGCGCATGGCCCTGGGCGCTGCTTTCATGGCCGCCGTACTACTCTATTAACGACCAATCGGATTGGGGGAAAAGGAAGAAAAAGCAGCATTATTACCCACACATGTGTACATTTGACAGCATTTGCAGGTGTTTGGGAGGGAGTCGTTCTGTTCATTGCATCCACGGGATTTACATTGTTCACTATCGTTACCCATACTTCTTGTCTTGTTTGCCTTGGCCGCAGCGTGTTCGGTCCTCGACCGTTGTGGCACTACGGAACATTCTTTCGCGTAGGGGAGTTGATTGCATATATACCAGTTGAGCATGCGCCTCACAAGCTACATTCCCATCTCGGCGCCTTGTCCACGTTCATGTAGCTTCTAGTTATAACCCAAGAGTAAATATTTTCCCCTCTAGTAGCAGGACCTACCCGCACAAAAGTGTAATCATGTATGGTGTTGTTTTGTACCCTGATTTATGCGCAGGTATCGACAACCGCCTAGTGGTATATGAGCGATGCTGTAACACACACCTCAAAAGGCCACGCTTCGCTACACCGTCACGGCCGCCTGCAAGGCTGGCCGACGAGAACGTATCCAAACATGGCATGTACAGCATCCAAACCCGCTTGCATGGATGGCCGATAGCGTGCCGACAGGCAGGGAACTATAACTCCGCCGGCGACATCCCCAAGGTGGCCATGTCAGGCACCTCAGCCTTATTCTAGCCCCGAACGCCACGTTACTTCCAGCTGACAGGCAACTCCGAGGCCGACGGATCATATCGTTTCTAGAAAAAAAGGAGCTACTTTCTAGTAACTTCTAGTCGAAGCTTGAGAGCTTTGCCACTGACCGCCAGGACACGAGAAAAAGCCCCAGCCGATATGCTAGAGGGGATTGGTTGGCACGCCAGTGGCACCGCGGGAAGGCTAGCCAATATCACCACGGAGTATCTCCATGGCCTTCCTACTTCTGTGACGATATCCTTCCAGGTCAGCACGTTTCTGCTTCGTAATGCAAAGTATGCGTGCGTCGAGCAGACTGTCGTGATCCCTGACTGTATCCCCAAGAAGCTGTGCAAGGATGCTACCGAGGGCAGGAGGCCCTCGGCTCTAAATGGTTAGGAGGGCCGGCGCACCTGTAGTGGCTCATGGCCTGGAGGACGACACGGGCGAACTCGATGGGGCCCGGGATGAGCAGAAGAAGGACTGTGCTACTCGGTATGGCACAGGCACGGCCCAGGGCATCCGCCTTTTTGTAAGTCGTCGGGTCTACCACACCCATATCTCCGTGTCTTGCAGCTGATAGGGCGACTCCTACTTGTATCGCCGGCTATTTATGGGAAGCGCTCGCCATGGCACGCACACGGGCAGTCCTGAATGCATCATGAGAGACGATGGGCATGGGTGGCACAAACGCCCTGATCGGTCCCACCGAGGCGGTCCCAGGTCAGAATGACGCGCGTCAACACAACAGCATGCCCGGCAGTTCATGGCAGTCAATTTGAGGTAGCTAGTAGGTTTACAAACTGTGAGAAACCACTGCATCACTCGAAGGGGCCTCTACGCACAGCAGGACATGCTCGAGAAAACGACATCAAGGGGTGCGCGTAGAGCCCGGGGCACTAACGGATCCTTATAGAATGATACGTAGATGCATGGGCAGGTAGGAAGCAGATCCTACATAGCTATCTTAGGATATGCAAACGGCTTAGAAAAAAATCGTCGCTGTATCCGAGAACATCTGGTGCTACTCCCTTCCCGGACGGACAAGAACCCGGCACAGAAGCTCCTAGACGAAGAGCGAACCAACGCATGCGCTCCGCCAGAATGCTAGCTGGTGATGAAAGGTTGAGATCCTTAGAGCATGTTTCGTTTGCTGGGGGTAAGAAGCCACTATCATTCGTATTACACCATCGGTACGGATAGCGGGGATTTGACACGATGTCGTCGGCAGCCCAAGACAAGCATTCAAGTAAACGACTAATCAAAACATGAGTGCACTCCATGTTAGATTACTGGTAATAGCGAGGACGATAAAATTACAATACGACCGTTGAACAAAAGAGAGAAAAGCAAACCAAATGTTAACGGCTGAGATGCGGACAAAATGTTTGAAAAAAAGAAAAAAAAGTTATTTGACAAGTGTGGGATTCGAACCCACGCGGTGTGAACCATAGGAGCCTAAATCCTACTCCATAACCTCTCGGACAACTTGCCATTCATGACGTGAAAAAACCAAGGCAATAGGTACGCTTATGAGCTGCAGCACCGAGTGCCCCTCACGTGGCGCAACGAGACCCACCTCCGCCATGCTGAATTGGCCAGCCCCGTTGCCCCGTACCCCACTGGTCGGCCCGAACAGCATTCCGGATAGGGCCCCCATTGCTAAGCACCGGGAAGATTCGATATTCTTTCCACAAAGGGCTCCGGCGCAAAATGCGCGGCCCCCCCTTCGCGAGATAAACTTTCTCCCTTCGTCCGAGTCAGAAAAGGTACACGCTGTGGGGGCCTTGCGCGTTGCGCGCGACTCTCCAGACTTCTAGGCTAGCCGGGAAGAATGGAAGATTGAGCCGCGACTTTTTGCGCCTGGGGGGTGGGTTGGTTGGCCACCACCACCATCCTGGCGTTGCAGGGGAGTGGATTTTCGGCAATTGGCTGAAACATTTCGTGCATCGAGATGCCAAGCAAGGGCCCGCGCCAGATGCGACGGGGGCATTTTGTTTTCTTCTTGTTCTTGTTCCTCTTCCTTTCTTCTGGCTTGCCTACTTGTCGGGTAAGCTCATTTCCCGTTTCCGGGCTGGGGGGAGAAAAAAAAAATCAGGCGACGACCAACAAGGCTACAGCAAGAATCCGGCCACCGGCCCGGACAAACGGGGAAAAAGAAATCTCGCCTAGC